TTGACGAAAAAGAAAGATACCTGTGTGCATTTTTACAATTTTGACATTTACGATTGCTAGATAAAGAGCACTATTCCTTATACTAGTCATGGGCATTTATCAATATGCAACATTTCGTATCCTAGAACTCGGCCAAATATGATGCCAAGCCTTCCTGTAGCATTGGGCTATTTCATGGATTATGATGGTTTGCCGTGTCCATTAGATTTGATCAAAACTTTCATCCAAGCGTCATTGCACCCAAATATCATAACGATCCAAGCATGTGATCAGCCCAGTCATCTAACAAATTGCGCGTGCGAGTTTCTATAATTGGTCAGCAGGCAAAATGCATGTCCTTTGGGGGATGACTTGAGTGATGCCCGATAAATTTGAACCAGCAGAGAAAACAGAGAGTATACGAAATTTTGGGTCATGCTCAACGACCGAGGTATTATTTGCATGCTTATATCTTGCATATGTTATACTCTGACGTGTGGAATGATGCATCTATTTTATTTCAAAGGGCCCTTTATACTCGTATTTCTTTACATCCTAGCATCTCAACATTACCAACTGTGATGTTCGTGTTAATGAGTAAAAGTCCGTACCTAGCCGGGTGCTATTTGATCCCAGGTGAAGTCTGCTGAACAATGCTAAATTATTCCAAAGAAGGAGTATTTTTATGAATGATTGATGCGTAAGAAAACGTGTGGCAGCGGCAGAGGAAGCTGCACTGAGATCTCGCTTGCCATCTGTAAGCCACTGAGGACACCCTGGGCTACGAGCCGAAACGCGTCTGACACGCGTCAGTAAGCAAAGCATCCGTAAGCAATTTTTATTGTGTTTTTAATTTTTCACAACGCTGCAAGCAATATTGATACCTCGTTGGCTTGTAAAATACATCATCGACCAAAGTCCACGAGTGTGTGTGTTATTCAATGGAGAGACTGCATCAAAACTAAGTGTAAGTCGTGTGTAAACTGGACAAGGATTTGTGGTTAGCTGGTAAGCGCTAGATCAATTCAAGGGAAATGAAGCCATTTCGCATGTGACAATCGGAAGTGTGGTGTTAGAGTCCTCAATTTTATTTTGACGAGTGGCAATGGAAGTGAAGATACCATATCGCCCAAGTAACTGACGGTGCGACTATAAATTGTTTTCTTAATGGTCGGGTTTGTACGGCGGCGACATATCTACCTCTTGTTTCTTGCGTTCACGAGCGACTTATGTACGAAGCTCCTATCTGTGCTCCTACTAGGTGATGATAGTTGTTTTGGCGTCGCGCTGCCTTCTTGCAGCACATGAAGTTGGTAGTACACTACAAGGTGGTGTTGCTGACTTCCACTTTAAATTCCTTTCCCTTGGAACATTTTTTGTACTTATCAAGAAGGTCTAAAGGATATAGAGCTGACACCAGTCATCTGTAGGCGATAAAATGCAACACGGCGACAAGTGGAAAAAAGGAAGGTCTATATCTTGAGGATGATGTTGTTGAAACTTCAGTCTTGACGCGCCTCTATCTATATGTACGAACCTTTATAAGACTCATACCCCAGGAGACTACCAAGAAACGTCATAGTTGCCCACATCAGCACGTTCTGTCTACCAGGTAGATTGGACACGAAGAATTAATGCGAATTTTTTGTGCTACCGATTTCCTTACTTTCTCTCAAGGCACAAATTGCTTGTCCATAGACTCCCTCGTCAACATTTTGCTGCATCCTGAAAAAACAATCAAAAAAAAAAAAATGGGTGGTGGGGATTTTTTTTTTTTTTTTTTTAAATGTTAAGTTGGGACCCGGAAAGCGGACATGACAAAAAAACTTTCATATTATTATCTTGTCACACAAGTTTTGTTATTTTAGTGGCGATCGTACATGCTCCACCAGCTTTCATCTGCATATTGAACGCTACTTAGCAAAATTTTGGATGGATACATAGGATATAAATATGCTTTTAGCCACATCACTTCCAAGCTTTGTCCTTACCGCCTTGAGGGAATCGTTGCAGTCGATGTGATTTTTCGCAAATTGAAAGCACGCACAGAATTCTCGATTTCGGACCAGAAAAGCAAGATTTGCGCTTAACATTATGTAAAAACGTGCATCTTACCAAATGTATTTAGACGCCAATACCCGTACTTTTTTACAACACGTTTACCCCCAATCACACATACTTACAACATTTCCATGATCACCTACGTCAGAGACATTCACACAATTTTTTTGTGTTTAAAAGAAAAAAAATAAATAAAAATTTTTTTTTTTTTTTTAAGGTTATTTTATTAAATTTTTTTTTTAGAGTCTTATAGAAAGATTTTCTATCATTGTACACTTCGTGCCATAAATGCATGCAATCGAAGCTAACTAATGGAACATGAAAAGTTGGACGCTAGAAGACGCATAATTACACAAAAGATGCTGGCAACTTTTTTTTATTAACTGATCCTTTCGAAGTGAAACTCTGATAAATTGATTGAACAACCTTCACGCTACTGAGTGTGGGGCGAGGAGATGAAATGGTATTTTATAATTTTCCTTACATCTCTTTGAAATATCTCCTCTTTATCGGTAAATTGTGTTAAGATATGGCTGTTTGTTACTGGCCTCGCAAGGTTACACGAGCATCACAATAGATTAAATGTCCTTAGCGTCTTGACTAGCGGCATTTAAAGCTGACAGATGTTGATTTTTGTCATGCTTGAATGCTTGGCGATGGCCATGCATATGTACGGATATTTGCTGCTAATCGTTTAGCCGTAATGCTCTGGACATCCTTTTATCCACTCTCGATTCTTCAAACGAACCTCCTACAGGCATCACGTAGGTTTTCTGCTTTGTTGAAGTGCTTATTAATAGTAATGGACATAGCGTCTGGTAAATAGAAGGTACCGTAGGTAAAAGTACGACGGAGAGGAGACGACCTAGGGACGATCAAAATTCGCGAGACCAACGAGCGGTGATCCTAACCAGGTTGCCGATTAAATGGTAACGAAGGAAATCTACCACCGTCCCACATTAGAAGGCACGGTCCCTAGTGTAATACCTCTTCCCCCGGGGTCGACTGCGGACTCTATTTGGTAGACCTAGTCTCTCGAGGTCAACTTCCTCCTGGCCAATTAATATGAGGAATCAGGGCACGGGACAGGAAAAATCAAAGGCGTTTAAGGATAGGCTGACATCTAATATAACTAAATTTGCGATCCCGGTGGCGTGAATTTTTTGCACCTAAAGGCACTTGGGTATTGCTGCCCGTCTGTTCCGGGGTAGAGACAGAATTTTCCCCTTCTTTGGAGATAGTCGTGCATTAAGACATAAAAGCGAATCTGTACCTAGGAAGTATTCGTCCTGTGGGTGAATCGCGAGTAGCCACCCCCAAGGATCAGCTATCGGAAAGAGGTTTCCCCCACCTAGCGGTTTGGGAGCAAAGTATGGGCCTGGTGGTTGACACCCCAAGCCAAACAAGGGAAAGGCTAGAAGAGACAAGATACCTGAAGAATTTGGTTGTGAGTCCACGCTCAACCGAGTCGATAGAGCGGCCACCTATTGTACCACCGAGTGCAGTCTATCCACTCGAGGTCTATCAGGTCTACCTTTGTTAAGGCCGACATCTACATCCACACCAGATCTTTCGAGGATTGCGAACCTCCAGCCGACGGGTATACGATGCGGTAGAAGGTTCTTACACGGTCACTGTAATGGGGCGAGCCTGTTACGTGTAAATCAACTATGACACTCGTTACTTAATATACTATTATAAATGTTGATCACGTATGTGAATATTATTATAAGGGGTAATATTTCGAAGCACTCAACGATTGGCTGATACATATCATCATATCAGCAAGCTCTAGCGGTCCATTAAACGATGGACGCGCGCAATGAGTGTTGCGCAAGATTTCATCTTGCATTTTAGCAGATAAAGATATTAAAGTTCGAACAAACATAGATACATGTAACTAGGACATAATTAAATATAAAAAGGGTTCTACTTTCTACTTTAGTTAAACGCGTCGTCCACTACCTAGCCTTTCTCTGCACGTACATCATACGTAAAGTGGCGCGCGGCACTACCTACACTGTTGTCAGTAGGTGCACTAGTACTGAAGCAGTACTAGTGACTAGTGCAACGTTGCTGTTGGCAGTGCATGATGCACTGGTTTCGAGTCTATAGATTCTACCCATGATAGGGTATGTGTAGAATGTTCTTTAGGTTTCTATGCATTATGATAGGTTGTACAGCTGCTAGATGTATGGATTGTTCTCACTTGTAGATTGACAAACCACTCAACGCAAGGACATGTACTTTTGAGGCTTGGCAGGCATGAATTTTTAGGGGCTCTACGACGCCCTGGACAGAGGGGTGTCGCCACTCACCGATCGAAATCGACAGTCATCTCGATCCCGGAGAACACCCGGTACTTCTGTGCAGCTGCTTCTCGGGCCGTGGCTGTCCCCTAGTCTGCCGGATCCAGTCGAACGACAGCAGCGGTACAGGACTGAGTTGGAGAACCTAGCATCCATATCAATCGGTTGGACTACGCCGGAGGAATGGGTGTTGGAGCTTCCACGGCCATTGCCTTGCTGTTCCTGGTCCTTGACACTGGAACAGGTATTGTTCTGGTCCACGTACTCATGGGCAGATAATCCGTGGATTACGGACCACCGGGGCGATTCTTTGTCCACTCGAAAGTATGCCAAAAATCTGCCTTGCAACATAGCGGGGCTGGAGCTGCAACGGACTGGGGTCCTAGACGTACTCTTTCATCATACCACCAGCTGAACTGGGCATGCATCAACAGGCCAAACTAAGGCGTTGGGCGATAGCGATAATGTTGAGTGCACCAGCTATGGAATTAGGGGGCGGTCTGCAAGTTCGTCCGACCCTGCGCCAGAGGCACCCACCCGACCTCGTGAGGGTCTATGACTGGAAATTTCTTTCGCCAGTTCAAATTTAGAACGTCGTAGCCGATACGAGTATTGAACAGCGCAATTTCATTCTGCTAGAGCAGGAGAGCGATGGTCTCCATTGGGATATTTCAGAAAAACAACATCGAGGATCGGCAAACAGCGACCGACTGTCAGGCGCTCCGTCAGAGCGCGGCAGCGCGGGGCATTGTCTTTTATGCGCATCCGTTTCTACACGGTCTTCCATGGAGTGATCAAGACTCAATCGCGTACAAACACGTCCTGATGGCGTTGAAGAAACAGCCATTTCGATGGTGTAAAGGAGCAGGAAGTGCATTAACGCAGACGGTGTTAAAACTCGAGCAAGCGGCACGCCGGAGTCCTTGGCAAGCCGGGGCATTATCCCAGACACCATACTATCTCTGGGCACATGGCAAGGAGACCACGGGGTATAAGGTCTGGGTCTGCTATCGTGTGGGAGTGCGGCAACTGAACACTTATTTTCCTGGGAGGCAGCAGGACCCCAGCTGTCGCAAGCTGCAGTGCTGCCAGGGGTAAAAGTGACTCTTGAATACATCTTCTGGTCCTGTTCATGTGCGCAGGCATGTCGGCAAAAGCTTATTTGCCATTGGACGGGACAGCGTTGGGAGCTGGGCAATCTCGAGGGATTCCTCCCAGCCAGCGCAAGTAAGCAACCACCGGAACTACCCTCGGGGGTCTTAGAACGGATCGGGCGAGACCACCCTGATGAGGTTCAAGCGTACGTAACAGTATGGATGCGATTGTGGCGCATACTGAGCAGCGTATGCGCTACAAGCTTATGGATACAGCGCAATCGGGTGATTTTCCGTCAGGCGGAAGTTACACTCCACGGTTGCGTCAAAGAAGTTTGGCTAACAGGTATGGGCAGCTCCGGGCAGTAGCAAAGCGGGAGTATCGGAGGGCCGACACGAAAATTAAAGGAGCGCGTTTGTTAGTACGTCAACGATAGACGGACAACCAAGAGAGCAGTTGCCTAGGGCGACTAGCCCCGTACAACCACCGGACTCGTCGAAGAAACCGGCGTTGCTAACCAGGCGCAAGATATTTCAGACATCCTGCAGCCATTCATGGTTAAATAGACAGGTCTGCATCTTTCTCTAGATTGACAAACCACTGATGAGGCCCCCGGCGGGGGGCCGAAACGCGTCTGGTGCGCGGTAACATACAAGTCGATAACTTTACTTGATATATACTTTTAACAGTTGCTGCTTCGGTGTACCCCTCTGTAAGTCGGTAGTCCGGTACAGTGAGTGGTTCGGGATCTTATCGCACATCTTCAGAACCCACTCCACCACATTGCTGCTACTACTCGTCTCCACCTTGCACGATCATTTCCGGTTGGAACGGTAGTCTTTTATGAGCATAGGTGCGTCAACGCCGGTCCGGAAGATGTTTCAATGAGTCAGTTTAGTGTACCGCAATCGCACCTCGTTCGACCGCACCGTTTGGACAGACATCGTGATGATCTCCTCTTTTCAGTCACTTCTTACCCCGGCGCGTGGGGCCTCAGACTACGCGCCACAAAAGCAACAAAAAACAGTGTGATTCACGCTTGTTCTATTTCTATGTGGCGCTGGTTTTAGGACTGGTCCTGCTTTGAAAAAGTTTGCATCGGTCTCGTACTGATCTCGATAGCTGCTCTTTCAAGAATTCTAGGAAAAACCGACTGTTTCGGGAGCGCAACCACACGCACATACGTTCCAGAGCCCTGACTAAAGCTGGAAGTCTGAAATGCTACGATCACGCAATGATAGTAACAGTCGAAGGGTGAGAAAGTTCGCGTCTGCATTTCCCATGTGCTAGTAGAACAATTTTAAAAGCATTCTCTATTATTACTGCTGGCAATCAAGCCAAAGAGGTATGAAGTCCGTTAAAGACGGCCTAGTCGCACTAGCTTCGTAGTACATGTAAGGTGGTAGGTAGTGCAAGTTCAACTACTTAAAGTCTATCAATCTGCACCTTGGAATTAGGCGTGGAGACCTAACGGACGGTGGGCTGCAATCAGTCATGCAATGCTACATCACAGTTCTTTGCTTCCAAAGTGCAAGTAGAAATGTACTGCACTGGAACCGACCACTAGACAAAAGCTGATCATTACCGGATGATTTGAATTGCTCGACTTCTTGGTCGTCAATACTCATTGAAAGATCAGCAATGTTCAGGTCTACACGTGATCTGTATGACAATTAGCACCGATACAAATGCAACCTCGCCTCTCGTGGTATCAACGGCATTGTTTACTTACATCCATGTTGCGTCCCTGTCAACTGAAAAATTATCTGAAACACTAGCACCATTAACCACCTGGCCAAATGCTGACGTATCCGCACCCATAACGTGCCTTCAACAGGTACATTATCTACGATGACAGCACTCTCCTCCACGGACCACATACGTCGACAATCTTCCTCCGTTCGCGTATGTGCACAGACCACAGTCAGTCAAATCGACGGATGCTGCACGACCTTACCATCAATACCAGTGCCAGTTGCAAAGGTATTTAGCTTCCACTGAATTAGCATACGCGATCACCGCCTTTGCGACTAGAACACCACCTACTGGACCCACAGAGAATCCACGCAACGTTGACCAAGTCCCAGTACCAACTGAACAGACCCGTTCACGAGCGCGCCAAAAGCCCGGTTGCAGGTTTCTGCTACTTACCACGACGGAACTTCTATCACATCTGTCGTATCCATCTCATGTTGCTCACCTGTAGCAAGCAGCTCGTCTCAGATACCCCGTCACAAGCAACGAGAGCGATCCTGGCCGACGTTTACATTCCAAATAGCACACTTTTATTCATGAATCCTTACCGACACTCATCATCCTTGCCAATCACTTAATGTTCATGCGTCTCTTTCCTGCTAGCCACGCGTATTGTCTTCATTACCGCTTACGCATAGTCCCTCACATTACAGGGACATAACAAGACACTTCGCCGTGTCACAGGTGCGTCTACATTTGCTCGTCCTGTGGTTCACCTGCCAGCTGCTCGTCCTCGGGTCCATCTTCCTCAGTAGCGTACAGTACCTTAAAAACCGCCTGGACCAACGGGTTCGTCTCGCTCTCATCGGTCGCCTGTAGCATGATCTCCACCTCGCGCAGTTTGTGAAAGTAAAAGTCCCGTTCCTTCTCCAAGCTTTCCACCTATCCCCACATGGCTCGTATGAGCTTCCGACACACAAGTCTCTCATGTAACCAACAACAACACACGTACCATTGCCCGCAACTCGCCGCTCTCTTTCATCAAGTCTTTATTGTTGGCTGCCAGCTCCTCCAGCTCTTTTTCCAACGGCTCCGTAGCTGCTGCAATCGCAGCTTCCGTATCCGCTGCCGACATAGCAGAGCTCGTAGACGATCCAGTGCTTCCAACCGGCCGACGCGATGTCCCCATCGACGTCTTCACAGGACGTGCTGCCGTCATTGAAGCAGCCCCCAATGATGCTGTCCGAGCCCCAACTCTTGTTGTCGTAGCTGCAGCTGCTGCTGCTCCGACTTTTCGACGCATCGGAGCAGCGGCTCCCGACGAGAACGCGGCAGCTGCTGCTCGTCCTCCCCCAAACTTGCTGGTAAACTGCGCTCCACCTTTCCCTTTCTCCCTCTGTGCGACAGGATCATAGGGCTGACCCGACGCATTGCGCTCGTAAAAGGCCTTGAACCACTGCATAAACTCGAGGTTGTCCTGGTACTTGCCCCGCACGAGTCGATCGACTTCCACGTGCTTGTCAATCTTGAGCTGCACGAACGCCTTCTGCAGGACTTTGTAGTTCTGGATGTACTCGTAGTCCTTATTGGCCGACCAATCGACTTTGCTCATCTGGACTTTGCCTGGGTACATGGCGTCCAGGATCTGACAGGCCACGGCGCCTGTGCACGTTTGCTCGACCTTGGCGAGGGACACGCCGCACAAGGAGTTGATCCAGTCCAGGATCTCCTTGCGCCCGACAAAGTACGTGCCGTCCATGAGGCTCATGCTCTGATCTGCAGCCGCCATGAAGAGAGAGAGAGAGAGAGAGAGAGGGGATGACGGTGGTGATGAGGAGGTCGGTGCGTCGTACTGAAGGGTTAGAAATGCGGTAGATAGAAACGGTAATACCGGGTGGGCGGTGGAAAAAGCGGTCATGGGTAGAAATTTGAACGAATTTGTTGATTTAGGAGAGACGAGTGTTGGTGGAAGAATGACCAGGAAAACGAAACGTGCGGCGTTGTCTGAAGTAGCGCTAATGTGCAGCACGTTGTGCGTAGGTTTTTATTGACGTGTCGTGTGCGTGATGTTATGCTGTTGTTGTTGATGCAGCATCAAAGACCAAAGGCAATGGTGGCAAGAAGTACGAGGGCAGCAAAAGGTCACGGAAGATTGGCATGTTCCAGGCACTTCAGAAGCAGAAGAAGTACGTACTGGCTGGTGGTACTGCACGCTTGAAATACTACAACTATTGTATACTTAATCGAGTGATAACGATTTCATTCTTTTCTTTTTGTTGCTGTTTGATGAGCAGGGCTGGTGTGGCCGATACGGACAAGAGTGACCCGCACCATTTGAAACGGAAAATCAAGCTGGCAAAGCGCCCGACACCTGTTTCGATCGAGTTTCGCAACTTTGACGAACGTATGGCTGCTACACGCGCAGGAAAAGGGTTAAAGTCGACGACTGTGGCTCGTTCGTCGTTTGTGGTGGCAGCGCCGACCTTCCAGTTGTAAGTGGCAACGAACTTGATGATTCGTTGTGAAGCTCAAGATGTGCAGTTGTATCTCTCACTGACATGCTGCTTTTGAAGTAACGCCAACCCTGTGCAGCCAAAGCTGGTGGCACGTGAAGTCGAAGGCTTTGATGGCTTCCTGTCTGCGCTAGAGGCTCCAAAAGACCCGTCGATGGTGCAGGTGAACCAAGTGGCCCGCCTGGCGAAACCCGTGCAGCTCGAATACGACAGCAGCAATGTATTTGCCGTGTTGGATGAAGATGATGACGAAGAAAAGCGCATGCCAGCAGCTGGGCAATCTACTCCAGCGTTTATGCAGCCAGCGACATTCACTTTGCCGGCAGGCGAGCAGACATTTACGCCGCAGTCTTTGCTGCGCTTGAGAACGCAATTGTCAGCAGTAGAGATAGACCCTGATTTATGAGATGGCATGTCACGCTGGTTGCTGTGGTGGTGAAATGCCAAGCTTGTTGTTCGTGCTCAATAGCTGCTGTTAGTATATTGGCGTCCATTGACTCTTCGACTGCACGCATTGCATTGTCAAAAGACGTTTCGAGTTGCTGTGCGTTTTGGGTTGTTATGCCACAGCAGATATTCGTCTCTACCCTGACAAAGTTGACGTTCGCGTGTGTGGTTGAAATGCAATCAGGCGATCTACATACCACACACAGACACTTACCTAATCTGGAAGAAAGGTACCGCTGACTGAGACGCAGTTCCATCAATTACAAACATGGCTTGAGGAACGCCCATTTGTTCATGCGATAAATCAACCAGAACTAGCCCTTTGTTTTCAAGCGCCGAGCCTTAATTTTATTGCTCACGTGACGATTCGATAGGTATCTCGTGCACCTCGTCTTTCTCTCGATAACCCAATTGCTAGTCTGTGTCATCACAATTTCGTTGAACCATTTTACACTCCGTCACGTTCGACAAGTGTCTACTTGTAAGAACAGAACAAGCAATCGTTGTTGTTGCTGTGTTCCATCCGATCACAAAATGCTCAACAGCATCAAATCGTTTCGAAGCGACTAAGCGACAACTCCACGGACCGGCAGTTTCATCAACAAGCAAAAAAGCGATAATTATCCAAAAAGCGCACTTATGTTGCACCAATCCCCACCAAAAAAGCAGTATGTTGCGCCATATTCGCCAGCTGAGCAATGTTGCTCCACGTTGGCGCGACATTCAAACCTACCGCCGGAAGAGAAGGGTACGTACACGCACCGAGAGCAGTTCAAGCAGCCCACCCGCCCACACTAACCGCCTCCTCCGACCGCTCGTGCTGCTTTGTCCATCGAACCAAGGGGCTGAGGTCTCCCATTAGAACAAGCAGAAGAAGAAGTAGCAGCAGCAGCAGCAAGCGCAACTCAAGCGACGCCATGGGCAGCGCCAGCAGCAAAACGGACGACGCGGACCCGAAACATTTGGGCGCAGACCCAAACGATCCCCACGCGTTTTCGCTGCACCAGCACCCGTATTATAACCAATCAGGGCACGTCAAGACACCACCGCAGAATCAGAATCAGGACGACGGCAGCTTGGACGATGCTCGAGATGACAAAGCAGCAGCAGCAACAGCAACAGTACTTTGCAGACCAGCACAATGCCTCGGAAGCTATGGACGTGGACCCACCTAGTGCCTCTTTGGCGGAAGATTTGTACTTAAACGGAGATATCATCCCTGGTCCAGCCCAGCTGGATGTGATAGCTGAGCTGAACGGGGGAGACCATACAGACGCTGCTAGCGTTGCAATGGCGCCTCGAGAAGATGTGGTGCCCATGGTGTTTAAATGGGAGCACGGTGGACGGAATGTGTTTATTACCGGCACCTTCAATGGATGGGACAAGCAGTGCCCGATGCATCGCTCTGGCAATGACTTTACGTACATTGCGAATCTTACACGGGGGAAGCACATGTACAAGTTTGTGGTGGATGATGACTGGCGGTTTGCGCCTGATCAGCTCACGATGGCAGATGTCGAAGGCAATGTGAACAATTACGTGGACGTGTCGGAGTTTGCCCCGCTGTCGGACTTTGACGGGAAGAACAAGTCACTGGATGACGACGACGATGATGCGGAGAATCCATACTCGCGGTACATTCCCGAGATTGACGAGTACACGAAGGAACCGCCGCCACTTCCGCCGCATTTGCGGCACATCATACTGAACAAGGTACGTCTGTAGATGTAGGTGGCGTGTACAGATTGTTGTGCGGGTCTTGACTCGTGTGTGTTGTATGCCTTGCGTGGGGATTCATTGCAATTTAGGCACCGCCTACAGTCGATGGACGATTGCTGCCTGTGCCGCAGCACGTGGCGCTGAATCACCTCTACTGCACGGCAATCAAGGACGGCATGATGGTACTTGGCATCACCAATCGCTATAAGCAGAAGTTTGTGACTACCGTTTATTATAGCCTCATGCCTGGCGCCAACTAGTTCTTGTCACAAGAGGCTCGTTGTGTAGGCTGACAGCAGCGGTGTTAAGGCTTATTCTCATGATCGGACAAACTGTAGAAGACAGCACAAGTAGTAGAAGACGGGGGGGAAGAGTGGAGCCAAGTCGTGAATGATCCAAGTGTTGGACGCGGCGTAGACATGCAGTGCGCATGCGTTGCTCCGCTTCTGTAGGAAGTAGTAGATGGCAGTTTTGTTGTGTCAAGGAGCTGCTTACAGTAGGGTTAGCGACCGAGTAGTGCCAAAATGGCAGGGCATGACCAACCTAGGAACGGCAAAGCCTACAGCAGTGGAAAGCAGGCACCGTCCAGCCATTGGCACCACCAACACGCTCGCTTTCACGCATGTAAACACACAGCGGCAATTTCAAGCAGCCACAGAAGAAACAAACGACATTTTTCACTCTCCAACAGCAGCACTCGTTCCACCAGGTCCACGTCAAATCGACGACCAGGTCCTGCAATTTCTAGGTTATCCACCACCTTCTTCTCCTTCGTCTCCACCGTCATTATCATGACCAAACACTCTCCTCCTCTGCTCTGTGTCTTCTATCACTAGAGTGATCTGGAGGCCCACCGGAGCACTTTGACTTCTAGCCACGTACCAGCTGCAGAGCTGCAACTGAAGGCTCGTTGGCTACATGTCTATACGTAGATCTCGGCCCACAAGAAGAGGAAGAGCGTGCCAAAGCCCAGCAACAGTGCCCCGATCAACGAGAGCACCAGCTCCACAAGAGCGTTCTTCTGAGGGGCCACAGCACGTGTAAAAAAGAGCGCCATGAACACGAGTCCAGTGAGCAATAGCGCGACCGTGAGGAAACCGTATCGTTGGGGGTCCACAGGACTCGTGTACGGGATTTGCTACAGCATTGCAAGGCAGATCAAGAGAGAGAGAGAGAGAGAGAAAGCACAAGAGCGCGGGTTAGAAGCAGTAAACGGGTTACACAAAGCGGTCGGGCACGTACGATTTCCATCGGGAATCTCTTTTTAGTGACTGACACGGAGTTGACACGTAGTTGGAGTGGTGCACACGTAGTTGAAGTGGCTGACGCCAATTTACGGCCTCTGACCTATTTCAGTGACGACGTCGGTGATAGTTGACCCATGGCAACTTTAGCGGGAAATACACACATCAACTGTATGCAGCGCATCTGCTGATGGAGCCGCGAAATCCCATGGTAGTAGTATGTATGATTGCTAACATAAATACGAACTCACTTGGATCCGTCTTCATCTTGCATCGCTTGCTTGAGTCGCTGCACGAGTTTTGCCTTGAACCCCTTCGTGTCAAGTCCTCGTTCCTTCAGCTTCGCTCGCAGCTCGACTACCTTCAGCTTATCGACATTAATGGTCGCATCAGACTCGTCACCGTCAGCTGTCTTTCCAACGATGCCAGATCTACCTGCCGACATTGCTTTCTCGACATTTGCAGGCGCGGCTTCCTCGACGTTTACAAGTGCAGCTTCCTCGTCATTTGCGGGTGCAGCTTCCTCGTCGTCTGCGGGTTCTGCATCACTAGCATTTATCGCTGCTACTTCCTCTACATTTGCAGGTTCGGCCTCCTCACCCTTTGCGGGATATGCTTCCTTGCTTTTCTTGGTCACAGTAGCTTGGACAGGTTCATTCGGCTTCTGCTTCGGGCTCTCTTGTGCAAGACCGGGTACCTTCACTTCCTCGTTCACGCGACTAGCGGATGAAGCCCCTGTATCGCTGTGATCCACAACTTGACCAACCGCAGCTGCCTGAGGTGAAACCGACTGCCCTTTTCCCTCGCGCTTCTGTGAGGACTCTGATCTTACCGGAGACCTGCGAACGCCCTCTCCAGCAGCCCTCGCTGGCTCTACCGAATCACCCGCTTCATCGTCAGATACACGGTGCTGGGCGGTATCGCTGTTTTCGACTTCCACCGTCGGAGACCCGTCACCGTGCTCGCTTGCCATTTCCACATCCTGCTCGGGCTCTCCAGAACCTTTAATCATATCTAGGTCACCTTCGTCCATTGCATCCTCCTCCTTCTCGCTCGTTGCATGCCTATCAGCGGTCTCCTCTACTCCATCCTTCTTGACAGCTTTCAGATCTTCACGGAGCTGCTTCAACTTGGTCGCGAACTCGGCTTCTAGTTTCCTCAGATTCTCCTCGTGACTCTGTTCACTGGCTTTTATCTTTGCTTCATGAGCCTCCATGGACGCAGCCACGAGCTCTTTCGTCTCTTCAGTGTGCTTTGCTGGAAGATAATTGATAGGGGGCGATGCAATCGTGACCAGAAACTTGGATTGGCTTTCGCTCCTTCGAACCATTCGCAAATGCTCCAACTTGGCACGTGCAATCTGCTCGCTCCGATCAAGTTCAGTGCGCGCGACCAACGCCTCAAGCCGCACGATCTCTGCCTCTCGACGAGCTTGTTCTTCCAGATTCTTGCTCTGCGCCTTCTCTTTTTCCTCGGCCTCGTGCTGTTTCGTGTCTTGACGTCTGAACAAGTCCGTGTCCTTCTCAATCTGCCGCTTCGCTTTGCCCAAGTGACCCATCAACGCACCAAACATGCGGCGACTGCGTGCAATACCGTCCTTTTGCGTATAAGGAGCTACCGCACGTTGCTTCTGCTCCTGTGCACGAGCAGTGTCTACCACCGGTGACGTAGTATCCCTGCTAGTCTCTTCCACTCTCACCACCGAGTGGTAAACTCCTTCCGGTCTTGCTACAGCTGAGTGCAACTTCTGTTTCTTCACTGCATTGCTCAGAGATCGCGCATCATCGTCACGATCACGCTTTCCCAGTGTCCACGGAGCGTTACCCCGCAGATTGCTCCTATCCGTACGCTCAAGGGCCTGTCTAGCTCCACGAGTGATCTTCCCTCCCAGACGTGCAAACACGCTGCCTCGAGGTGAAGCTCCTCTTCCAGCTCCTCTTGTCTTCCCGCCTTGACGTTCTGTACGTTATCAAGAACACATTGTACAGGAGCAATTAGCACTTAGATCTAACGCCCACGCGTCCAGAAAGTCAGAAAATAAAGAGCAGAACGCACTCGAGTTGATGAGAGCCTCGCGCTGTTTCGCAAGCGCTTGCAGCTCGCGACGCAGCGCGCGTTCGTCCGCAGACTCGACTCGATCGGCCATCGCGGCTGCTCTCGGTGCTTTTTGACCCGCTCAACGGGATTGGCTGACAAAGCGCAACATTACTTGCCTCGTTGAATTCCTTGGCAACATAAGCGAGGTCACAAGTTGCGCGATTGACCAGGGTTTGCCGGTTTGAGTTGCTGTGATTATGCAGTGAAGTGGTTATCCCAAGTTTACTGGTAGACTCGGCATTTCTCCGTCGGGCTTTTACTGAACAATCTTCATCGACTAGTCCAATACTAGACCACGAAACGCACTTGATGAAACGTCATGATTGTAAGACGCACAATGCGCAAAGTGCTGCTGTCCCGTAGGACGTTTCGTCATAGATACAGCAGTTTGTGACCTGGCCACCGGGCTAATCGCCTAGATATGTATTGACACAAACATGAGGCCATGATTTCTTGTGGAAAACATGGCTTGCCATGTTCCGTGTGAATGATGCAAGTTGCTATACAAACACAAATGCACAAAGCCCTGTGCAAGCCTAGGCCTAGCACAACCGTGCGGACCAGTCTTGCTATAAATCTCCAGAGACCTCCAGTGTAGCGAGAGGAGCGAATCCAGCGACACCCGCACAATGCAGCTTAGCACAACCCTTCACGTGCCATCTCCGACATGCGCTCGGACAAGCGCTCCTTGATGATCTTTCGACGCTTGCGGAATGATGTACGCTATACAGGACACACAATGTCAAAACAAGACACAGCACGCTGTTCGTCAGACCGACAACAACGGAATCGATCAAAATGGACACAGCTTCGGTACTTACCAGGCGACCTTCTTTGCTGAAAAGCTCGAGAAAGCCGTGCTGCATGTCGTCGGCTTTGCTGATCCACTTGTGCACGAACCCGTCAACGTCGTTGCGAACCTTGTCGACCGCCATATCGAATTTGATACTCTTCTCCTTAATGAATGGCACATTCATGTCTTTGCCAGAGTACCCGCGCTGTAAGTTGCGACGGATGAATGTGTCGTACTCTGCAATGATCCGGATGATCAAGTCCGACGTCGATATCCCGTTCGTCCGTCTAGTTTCCAAGAACTTGCCCATGGCTTTAATGCGCGCATACACGTCACCTTCTGATGCTTCACCCGACGTATCCGAGTACGGCAGTGCATCGTGACACACGTAATCAATCTGGTGCTTTTCGATAAATTCATCCGAGAGCACCCACGGAGCGTCTTCGACCACTTCGTCCACCCATCTGCAGTGCCGCAAGGACTCGTAGCGTTCCTTGTCCGTCATGACCGTGCGACCCTTGAGTTTGTGCGTGATCTCATCACTGCAACAGCCAACAATCAAGTACGTGTTTGGATACGCCTCTTTGCATTGCTGCAAAGCTTTTGCATGTCCGAAATGGAAGAGATCAAAGATGCCGTCGGCGTAAAGACGCAAGGGACGGCCAGTCAAAGTACCAGCTTCTCCTTCTTCCAGCTTCTTGCGGTAGGGCTCTGGCTGCGGCTCGTCGTCGCCCTCGTAGCTGCTGCCACTGCTGTTGTCATTGGAGCTGTTCGTTTCCAAGTCTCCATCCGCTTTCGTCTCGTCTGCACTTGCGACTGCACAGTGCTCCACCTCCGCCTCTTCGGCGTTGTTCATCTCCGCGGCACGTCTCTACACCAGAAAAAAAAGACATCGGACATTCACAACACACAGACACCATATCCATCGTTTAGTACCGTGTCCTCACGCACACGTGTGGACGCACGACCGTTTAACGACTGGATGACCAGTACGTGGTCCGACGCGACGGAATCGCCACGTGCAGGGGGACGAACACGCACCTTTCTCGCCATCTTTCAAGTTCGTTGTCAGCTTTGGTTATGATGGAAAACAACGCCATGGTCGAGTGCTCGGTCGATCGGATTAAGTTCGAAAACAAGGAACGTCGTGCAAAACTGTGACGTGTGAGGAGGAGGGGCTCGTCACTTCAACTTCACGATATCGGTTTCCACAGGGGACGGGGTCGCGAGGACGACAGACGACCGACTGGAATATGATTACGACACTGCTATGCTAGACTGGTCATCACCGTCAAATGTTGTCGGTTAATATTGATTGTAGAAAAAGAGGGATACATGAACACGTAGCGCATCATCGTTTGTGGAATAGCGTTCTTCAGCGCGTCACGACGACGATGATAAGTCCGCTACCCGCGTACTGCCAGAATAGAGCTTGTGTGGCACGTTTGCGAGCCGGTGGCGGTCCGTGGCCACTGCGGGCTGCACAACGATCGGTACGTGCCATTGAAACATTTGCCGCGACGAAGCGGCACGAGTGCTTGGAGTCGGCTGCGGAGCTGCTGCAGCCCCTGCTGAAAACTCAAAGCGTAGCAGCCATTGGAAGCGCACGAGGTCCGTGTTTATCGTTGGCAGTGCATCGTAAGGAATGCTGAAGCGAGCGTTCGTCTGCAGTACACCCAAGGTGCGCTCGCGAAAGCTTCCAAAGACATTGGACTGCACGACGCGTCCGGGCTCAAGTGCTCGTGTAGAAAGAGTCTCTTCGAGACACAGTGTCGCTGATACTTCGTAGCACGGGATGCTAGCACGCGTGAAGTCAAACATACCCAGTAGAATATCTCCTGGCTGGTAGGACTGTTTTGTAAGCAGGAAACGCACCAGGTGACTGCTGTCTTTGCCAATTGTAAAGATGCTCGTCTGTGGACGCTGCAGTAGCTCCGTTTCCACGCGGCCGTGCATGAGTGAAGGGCGTAGTTCGAACGCAAGCTCGCTTCCTTTACGCACTCCAACAGGTGCTAGTGCTGCCAACGAGGCAAGTCGTCCAACACGAGTCGTGCCACCTACAGCCTGCTGCTCATCAGCCGTCGCCTCGGTACTTTTGCCAACATCCACAGCGTCACAAGCGTCTGTGTCTTGACTCACTACTGGATCAGTCGCACAAGCAACTGTGCTAGCTTCGAACAAGTACTCGGCGCCATAGACATCAAATGGCAAGTGTATCGACACTGCTTTAGTCCCAGGACTTGCACCTTGCACTGTGATTGAGACCAAATAAAAGACACGAGCAGAAGTGCCGCGGAAGCTCGGGCACATGTTCTTGGGCAGTGCAATAGCAAACTCCCGCATGCAGCGCTTTGCCGTCTCCTCTCGAGCAGCTTCGAGTGAAACAGCCACAGACGCAGTATCAGCACTAGCTCCATGGCTCTTCTTGATGGTTCTTGCTTCAGTCTCTGAAAGATTCGGTGCAATGTTCAAATCCGAGAGCAGAACCGACGGCCCAGAACGGAAAATGCACGTGCCCGTGTCGCCCGAGAAGTTGCGTACATCGGGTAATGACGCGTCGATATTGTCCCCCAGAAGCTCGTGCTTGGACATGTGACGGTCCAGTCTTGATTGTTCCTCATCGTTTGAAGCAGCACCACGAAGGGGCGACTGTAAATGCACGACTGGAAGCGTCAGTAGATTACTATCCACCGCAATATGGCCGTGGACTTGAGCGATGACGTATGATATCTCCGTACGTGCATCAGAAATCTGCTGACGAGTTGCGAGTTGCACGAAGCCTTTGACGACACCTCCAGGTCGGAAGTAGCGGCTTGCTAGCTGAGCAGTGAGTGTGCTGCCGTCGCTGGACTCGACGACGTGGGGAGACATGAGGAGGAGGAGGAGGACGTCGTATCGAGTGCTCGTTGTGGTGTGTGACACACTAAAATGAGGAGCGAGGAGCTCTTTTTGAGTGTCTCAGCTACTGATTTAGTTGATGGCGTCTGTAGCAGAGCTTGGGTTTGTACATTCGAACATGGACTTGATCTCGAGGCAGCTGTGGTGATGCAATGGGAGGACGCAGGTCGTAGTCGCTGCGTGGGAACTTCTGGGGAGACTGGCTGACGAATGGTTGACTAACGATTGATGATTACGCGTGGTGTTTAGCCGCCGGGACGCGCAACGCGGGTACATGAAGAAGGGGATTTGACGTCTTGTTGATGGACAAGCCACGGTCAATCGATGACGACATCACAAGCAGCAGTCTTTCTGTTGGGAGCACAATCTAACGATGCAGCTCATTGCTGTTCGTCACGACATCGCGAACAGCTTTCTGGACATTTCGCGCAGAAGCTGCTGCTACCAGCAAAGCTTGCAACCCTGTAATATGTGCACCATACAAAAACAGCTTTGCATTGAGACATCACAAGAACGTACATGCTGGAGCCACACGCACACACACACACCAACTTACCACTCGAAAACTGCTGCTTCGCTTGGCGGAGATCACTTGGCGGCAGTGAACTAAACCACAGTAGCGTATCTGAGTCCGACCCTGTGTGCTTCTTGCTCATTTCACGGCCTCTATCTTCGTCCTGATAGCTTCCACGTGCTCTTCGATGGCGCAGCACCGTCACATCTTCACTCTTCTCGTCTACTTTCTGCCTGTCTCCTTCCATCGCGTCTTGCACCCGCCACTTTCCGTGCGAGTCTAGTGTTACCACACTTGACGCCTCAAACTCTTCGTGATACGAATTCTCACTCAGTGCATGCGGCGGCAAGAGCATCCTGGCCTTCGTCAGCAGTAGAAATCCCTGTCAATTTGCATCATTAAAAACACCCATCTCTCCACCTCTACATCTCCATCTCTACTGCTGCAAACATTGCAGTAAATGACACACCTTCTTCAGCTTGTCACAAGAGAGTTCCTGATCCTCTAGATACTGTTCAAAAGACTCGACGCCCTCGACGAGCGCGTTGTCAACGTCTGCGACATTGATCACCATCGCTGATCTTGCCAACACTGAATTAGTATTGGGATAATTGCAAAAGGTGACAAGATTGAACAGTTTCATCGAATGTGACAGGATATTGTTAGAATCTAGATATTCTCAGTTGATCACACAGCCGCAAACGAGCTTGAAGAGTAAACCCCGAATGATAATACCCTTCGAGTGCTTCAAAGAGCTACAAAAATATACTCATGGGCGATGTGTGCGCTCACAATCAGCATGCACCACTGTAATTGAAAGTAGGACGTGCGGATACTCCTCGAGCTGATGCCAAATTTCAGACCAGCTGAAGCAAGCCGAAGAGTACACCTCAGCAGGCATTGTCACAGGATGTGGGCGTTTCGCTCCACATCCTGTTGGCCAGCCTGCTGCTCCGTCATTAACTATAAATGCGTCCTCACACACTTATTAGCCCCCACTCTGCGGCTGCGTGCACACTGGGACGACTCTATACTGAATGGAAGCCGAACGTTGAAGGTGTCGGGACTGCTCTTGATGACCCTTCACGGCTTTGCCCGACGCTATAGTTCAATTTCGATGGTATGGTAACGCTGAGGCTGCAACTTCGATAAAAGAGCTAAATAATGAAGAATTTCCACATGAATATAATTATAGGGGCAGTCTAGGCGTACACCGCCTTGTAACTGCGCGCACACACACACGGGGTACACACACATCCCGTGTGTGTAATCGTTAAATCGTTCTGTGTACCATCTCGTTTTTTATAAAACGAGGATTATTTTTCTCTCGTGCTGACCAGCAACCGAGGGCTAGCGTGCGGAAAAAGCCACAAGGGACCATCACTCTCTTTTCCACTGTGTTGAAGCCACAGCATGACCAGTGAGGACGCGGCCACGTGCGCAGCCAAGCACAAGTACGCCACCTCGGGCGGCCGCAAGCTGCTGCGCTGGGACGCCGCGCGCTGGCAGCTGTTCGAGCGCACGCTTCCGTACACGACGCACCTCAAGAGCGCGCCGCTTTTACATCTGCGCGCCCCGCTCGCGTCTATGTACGTGAGATGCTGTCCCGTCTGCGGCGTGGCCCGTGCTTACGCTCTCGTGTGTCTCTCTTTTTAGTTGTGCTGTTGCTTATTAGCTAAAAGATCCATTTTTCCAGTCGAAAGATACACGCGCCGTCGGTGGTGATAGAGCAACCGATTGTCGGCACGCGCTCGGGATCTGTAGTGAATCTGGGGCTCGTGATTGACGCGACAGGCAGCGAGACGTGTCTGCACGATGTCAAGTGGTTGCGGTTGTGGTTGTTCTGTGGGGGTGATGGTGAGGGAATGAAAGGTATTGACTGGACAATTGTATGGGATGGTAGAGAGTAGGACGGATCAGATGTTCAGTATGTCAATCTATAGGTTTGCGGGAGTGAAGGTAGGATCTCTTTTTATATGGTTTGGCATAGTAGGCTGTGGGCGTTACGTCAGAATGGTGTTACTGTGTGATTGTATGTAGATGAGGAAATGGGTCTGGGGGTGCACGACAACAGGTTGGCACAATCATTTTGCAAGACGCTATCCGGCCACTTGAAGGGGCGATGGAAAGGACATGGATATGGCTGTTTTTGGGACGGATGGCTAGAACTTATCTTCTACTCCACGTTTTTTTAGAAACAACTATGTGGAGTTTCTTTCCTTCAGTGAGATATTCACGACGATTTTTGTACTCTAGGCCAGCGAGCAATGGAGTCAGGCCTTGCGTGTTTCACCGCTTTTGGAGAGTTTTGAGCGAGTCCGTCCCCACACGGCGTAGCCTTGGTCAAGTACAAACCGCTCTACTGTTAATTGAGCATCACCAAAAGAAGGATAAGTATGCTCGGGAGGTGGTGCTAGAATTGCCGGAAGAGCAAGGAACAGAGAGACAAAAGGATTGAATGGAGGATAGCTCGCATTTAGTAGGAGTAAAAAAATTCGACATCACGGGGGGTGCGCGTAGTTAGTAGGGGGTGTACGCCTAAGCGGTCCCTGATTAAATTATGAGAACGTTGTTTCTATGAACAGTGTAACGGGGTGAGCGTGTTACATGTAATTGACCCTTGGTGCTTGTCGATCAGAATATTAGCATAAATGTTAGAATGTTCGTGAATATTACCAAATGGGGTAATATGTTGAAACACTCATCGGTTGGCTGATACGGTCCATCATATCAGCCAGCTCTAGCGGTCCAATCAACGATAGACGCGCGCAATGAGTGGTGAGCAAGATTTTAGATCACACATTTGTAGATAAATACAATTAAGTTGGGATTAAAGCACAGGTGAATGATTGGAACATTTTACGTTCCAGTCAGTTTTACTTTTTCCAGCAACTAGTCAGTTCTTAGTTGCTTTCCCTTCCTCTGCGTAGTTTACAGAGGTAGAGAAGCACCACTCACACTGCTGTCGGTGATAGTAGCCCCACACTGGTTGTACAGCGTGCGGCCCCGCTGCCTTGTTAAACACAGGCTTTGCCAGACACTTGGATCTCGTCCAGGGTGAGCCACGTCGCGGCAGCCGTCGAGATGACCACGTGTCCTCACTTTTGGTCGGACGAAATCAAGATTAGACAATCATTGAGTAAATACGAACATAATACGCGAGCAAAAAAAAAAACACTTAAAAGATACGTTACCTTGTGGTTGCTCGGATCCGCAGACTGTTTCACTTTCCAATTCTTTGACGTAAGCCAACTAAGCGCTCGTGCGGCACCCTACAGGTTCGCTCCAAATTCGCACACTGCGTACGTCGTCCTTTACCAGTGTGCAGTCAGTTTTGTTTATCACTATCCACCTATCGATCTTTTTCTGCTGGAGCGCCGCTTCCGTGGATGTAACCCATTTGATTAGGATCAGGCAGCCTAACGACACAACGAATCGCATGTCTTCGTCATCTGCGTCTGCATGGTTTATTCGGTGCGCTCTATCACCACTGAGTGAGACTCTTGGAGTCTCTGGCTAATAGATATTCTGCATTCATCGGCTCCTGCGTTACCGGTCCAGGTTTATGTCCGATGTGGATGACAGTATTCCTCTCGAACATTGAGTAATACATATTAACATAACACTAATCATAATTTGCATATATATTGGTGTTTCCTCTGAAGCACTCATCATAATGTAGATGGCGTGACAATGTCATGTGCCACACAATCCGCCCCGGATTCAGTCCCTCGAGCGCAGGTAGCATCCGCCATAAAAGCACTCTTTTTGTGTGTTGCAGATCACACCATGCAGACGAGATCGTTGTCCATCTATTTCTTGCGTTAAGAAAAGAGGGGAGTAGCACAAAGGTGAAAATTATACTTATGAAGGAGAGAAGATCAAAGAATGGATTTCATCACTTGGTCCACATTTTAAAATTGTCACATATAATTAAAGATGAAGGCTAGCATATAAAAACGAGTACCATTTCTAATCTCTGTATAATTCGATTCGAAAATAGAGGCAGATTTAAAAAAATACTAGGAATCAGAGAATGGGTAAAAACCAAAAGAAAAAACTGCATGAAAAAATAGTCATGAGGCAAAAGCACGGGATGGAAACGCAATTAGACAGAAGTATAGCGATGTGGCGGGTCGTCTCGCGGGATGTATGGCGGTTAGATGGATACATTCTGTGTCGAAAAGTGGAAGGTGGACGCCGTGCGTGTGCTCTGCTCTGTGATCACTGGGGTCTGCGCAAGATGCGAGCAAAAGAGGCCAATAGGACGTGGATACAATCTTAGGTGTGTTTACGTACTGAGTCTTGATGTTAAATGCCCCGATAAATGGTGATGAATGCAGGAAGATTGATGTCGGATATCCTGACGTGATGAACGTTGATAGATGCAGATATATTGATACTGAAAGACCGGACGTGATGTATGTTAATGTGTGTAGGAAAGACGCACGAAATATCTGAAATGAGTGTGGGAGCCGGCCTATTGTGACTTGTGTATTCTTGCATGTATGTATGGCGTCTCGCTGATGTGGCTCGATCGCAAACGATGATAACCCTGGTCGCGGCGGGACAAATGTTGAGTAAAGAGTTTGACAAAGATGACCAGGATAATCTGCGCTATGCCGAGCCTCACAGACATCTTGTATTTCCTCTGCTAATATTGCAAACGATAGCTTGTTCGGTTGATGCACGAGTTCGTTCTGGGCACTTGTTCATATCGTGACCATGCTCCCTGCAAATGCTACATCGCTTATTTTTCGGAATCAATCTCTTCCGAAGTCGGCAAGCGCTTTTTTAAATTTTTCCTTGGTGACAGGCGGAAGCACGCCTTTTTTTGTTGTGTCCGCAGGGACAATGGCCTTCTCAAGAAATCAGTGTAAGTAATTTTAGATCGACTTGATATAACATTGTGGGATTCATCATCGTTTGACATGTGTTCCAAAAGTTCGTGTCTAAATGCAATCCGTAGTTGCTCATGCACAATATCCCGTATTTCTCTTCTACATGAAGAGTAGGTAGCGTGATCAGTTTCTTGGAGAGCTCCTTCTTGGCTGCTAAATGTTCCGGCGCCATGAAGGTAAATGCTTCAATCGATATTTTTCCATAAAATCCTCAAAAATATATATTGCACAGCAGGCAAGAGGTGATTGTCGAGCTCACGCAAATAAATGATGTGTTTTACGGTTTCTATCATTTTTAAATGATTGGGTATACTAAAAATATTCTTGTTGCGATGTCACAAGGTTTCAAAAGGTAGCGTGCGCGCTTTCAACCTTCGGTAATGAAATTTGTCCAAAATGCAAAACACTTCCCATCTATGCGGCACCTTTTTTTGTAGGGACTTATCCAGTTATTATGAATGTACTCAGCGCAGGTAGTCGTATAAGGTTCTGTCATTTCCATCCAGCCAGCTTCATACGACTCGGGCGTTTTCGTATCACGTACTAACTCGTCCATTTTGTAAAAATGTAGTAAACGTCCCTTGAGCCAGTCCTGCAGCCTCAGCTATAGAAAGTCTCTCCTATGATGATCCTTGGTGTTAGATTGTATGTGCCAATAACACATGAGGTGGTGTGCAGTGGGAAGGACATTATTGTAGACGTTCATCAGCGCCTTGTTTGCATCGATATCAATATCCAAGGGGTAAAAGATGATCGAGTTTTCCATAAATGTCTCCAAAACCCATAGTACATCTTCCTTAGTAGAGCTTTGCATGAAGCAATACACGAATGTATACGTCACATTAGTGTTAGTGGAACACTCATGGTGTGAACACCTTCATGGGGCAGTAATGCTTCACGCATTACTGCCCCATGAAGGTTTGTGTGATATGTTTCATCAATTTGAACAACTGAAGTTCGTTGTTCTTGTTGTAGCAATTTCGGCAAACTCTTTGGAACAATGAGAAGGTGTGTCGTGTTTCCATTATCGTTTTGTTTTATGCAAAACATGGTATCGTCTTTGATTATATCACGCATAAGTGCTTCCATTTCTGGAAAACTTGAATTTTGTTCTAGATGATTAGTCTGATGACGGTTCAGGATAAATATGCTATCAGCTTATATATACATTTTTATTTTTCATGCAGGATATCTAATAATGCAGCGGTACTAGTTCTTAAGCGCAGGAAAATATGTAGGAACATATGTTGCTTCTCTATTAGCCTTCTTGCTGGTGATGAAATCGAACTATACGACGTTTCCGCGTCATTGTGGATTCCTGAAGCCATAAACGGTATAATATATATACTTTTCTAATTTGCACTTTCCACAACAAATTTTAGCCTGATATGTGACTTCTACTGTCGGGGTTTTAAAAGCTGCTACATTAAGGGCGCCAGTGCACGCGCACACGCAGTAATAGCGCTTCATGTATTCTTGGCGCGTTTTGTCACTTATTGCACCCTCTGGCTTGTTTTCATGCGCTAGTATTTTGATCTTGCCCCCCCAAAAAACCTATTCGGTGCTCTTCGTCTCAAAGAGCTGTATAGGCGATCCTTATCGTTGTATAATTGAATTGGTGAGACGATAAGTGCTGCACGATGTAAGGTGCCACTACGTCAAGATGTATTAAGAATTCCTTTTAAGCCATTGCAGTTGTGTCTATAATCTGCATTGTGATCTTCATCAGTTCAAAATTTCACTAAGTCCCTCCGACGAGCCATTGTGTCACTCATAAGGAAACACTAAGATCGTCTTTTCCGAATTAATTATATCGTTAACATCAAATTCTGTGTCAATCATGTCATCAGCGTTCAAAACCTTCTCTTCATTAATGAAATTCACGATCATAGCAGCTAAGGGAATACTGAAATGGTCTCGTATGCCTAAAAATGTTGGTGCAGCTTGTGGTGGTGTCACCGTTGACTCCACGCCAAAATGCCCGGTGCAGAAACCTCTGTATAAAATACACTCATTTATTCGCAATGCATTATTCAAGCTAGCATATAGAATCAACCAACGTTTGGAGCCGTTAGTGCCTTTTGTTGCAAAAAGTCTATATGTGCGAATGCATGATCGCAAGAGTCGCATTGAAGATGCGAAAAGTCAGTATCGGTACACTGCGCTCTAGTGTGCAGCGCGAAAGAGAGAGGCAGATGATGTACGGCAGCAGTTACGACGGCATAATGCGGAGCAGTGAACAGTCACGATGGCGCGTGCGACGCTGTGAGAAGTCGCGACGATCTGAAGGATCGCGTGCCTGTAGGATCGTATGGTGCGAGCGCAGTGAGAAGGTTGCATAAGTGGTAGTGAAGAGCTAGCGAGTGAGAGAAACCGACAGATAGCGAGCGCGAAGAGCTGTGTTATAAATGCTTAAATCCAATTTGCCTTCTACAACGTACATGTTATAAGTCCAATGCCAGGATCCGAGACAAACGATACGCCAAGCACTGCAGCACGCGTTGCTGACGACGTTCGCAAAAGGACCAACGCACCGAAAGCTACAGCACCGCTACACCAGATGCTCCTGAGGCTGCAATAGTCGTCGATTCCCCCGCTCACGAAATCAACAAAAACTTTGACATCAGCGCAAGGATTATCACTGCTCTCGAAAACATGACAAGCCGCATGGACTGACTTGAGATGTCGCAGATGCAAATCGATGCGAATGAGCGCCTACGCGGCGCCATCGAAGTAAACTGTTTGTCTCCGCTCTCGGCAGTGATATTAGTGGAGGACCAATAAACCACGAAGCTCTCGGGTTCATTCCGCCAAGACGATCGCCTGATCCGCCAGTACTTCGCGACCATGTCTGCAAGCTCCAGATATGCTATCAGCGTCGCTCGAGCCGCTCGGTCTGCGAGTACCGCCACCGCATCAGCATCAGTAGGCCCCGGCGATGCAAAAGCCTACGCACATCAAGCGCATGCACCTATGCATCAACAGGCAGCGATAGCACCACCTGCTGCACCTGCGCCAGTACTGCAAGGGTATCGGACGCCGGAGACGCTTCGGACCAAACTGCATAAGACAATGACAGCCAGGATTTTTCGTTTAAGCGAACCGATACCGTTTTTTATCCAGGCGTTTGTAGCCCGTCGTGACACAACGTATTTTCGCTTAGAATAGAGCTCGTCAACTGTCATTGACCTTGTCCTTTTCTTGATTGCATTTCTCCGCAGCTTCCTTTGTTTATGCGAAACAAGTTGACGATGACATGACATAAAGTCGGATCAACTGATCAACAAGAGCTTTGACTTTTAAATTAGTGGATCAAGACTGTAAAGTGCTTGATTTTATGCTACACGATGAAGTAGATTGATGTGGAACGTTGCTAATCTTGGTAACCGCTACAGCTTTCGGCGGTTCGCTGCAGTATTTTTACCGCTTAAATTGACCCGAGTTGCTCACGTGTAAGGTGCAAAAGAGGCGTCCGCCAAGTTTGCAGGAATTATCTGACGGAATGTATCAAGGTCTGCTTTCATCCCTTGCTGGCATTTTCGAACCTTGACTTAGATAGATTACAATGCATCAGCACCTGCTGTTCGTCATCTTTTGTGAGCTTAAGCACGTACTCACTCCAGATGGCAGACTCCTCCTCGAGATTAAGTGCCTTCTGGTGAATATCGGCTACACTCGCCTCGAGCTTTTTAACATGCGTCTTCAATGCGACGTGAAACTCACGAGAATCGTGCACTATCGTCACCGCTTGATGAATTCCAGCACGCAAACCAGCCCCGCTAGAAAGCCTGCAATTGTAGAAATAGTAACAGACAAGACCGATGTGGCTTGCGGAGCTTTGACATATGGTGAATACAACGATGCCACCTCTTCTGCAGTAGCGACCTTTTCTTCACGAGCGCATGTACATCATCGTAAGAACCTGTTTTTGACACAGTATCAGCCTCACTCGTTGCTTTGGCCTGCACAATTCCCAGATCCTCTGTATATGACGGATCCAGCTTATTTTTCACGTTCTCTAGTGACTCTACAGCCTCTGGCAGCTTCGCAATGGACGAAGAGCAAGTATTCCAGTATATATCGGAGCATTGCAGATTCTTTTGGGTCCCTTGTGTCTGAAGCCAAAATTGTGAAGCAAAGTCATTGAGAGCGAGTTAGAGATTGGGAAGGAGACCAAGAAAGAACACACGCAGCAAAATATGTTCAGGAAGTTTTTCCATGCCTTTTAAACGCTGTCGCGTTCGCTCTTTCTCGCTTTCGCTTTGTAGCCACTTTTTTGACACTGCGAAAGCTCAACTTGGTGGTGCAACATTCAGCCGACAACGCGCCTTGTCGAGCTAACGAGATGGTGTGTCTGGATGTATATCGACAAGGTACGCCATTTGAGTTTGCGCGACATTTCAGTTAACAATATGTTGCACGAGTCGTTAAACACGAAGTACAAAGAACGTAAATAGTACTATACGAACTAATTTCAAAATTAAACCGTTTCGTACAATTTAAAAAGTGTTTAATTAAACTTGGAAAAAGAAAAAGCGCACAAGCGTTCAAAAATCAGATTTAGGGGTACATGCCCACCCTCCGCGATACGTACATGCCTTGTCATCTCCATCCAAAATTTGACGGCTCCGAGCTGTATCAAGGACTCGGATCCGGCTTTCTTGACTGTGGACGCTCTATATCTGTGTGGCGAACTTCTCATAGGCGGCTTGCGGATTCTCGTGGACTGACATTTAAAAGTTGAACTCTTCGGTCATCACCTTGGCGGAACCGCCGTGCGATATTACAATAAGCAAGTCGATGTTTGGTGGGATCAGCTCCTGATGCTAGACTACATCATGGAGCGCATGTGCCAAACGTTCCGGACGACAATCACAGCGTCGAAATAGATGTAGCTGTTCACGGCAAAGAAGGACCGCAAGAGGTTGTGGGCTAAACACTATCTCTTCATAGTCGCAATGGGCGACGCGTGTGGAAGAGGCGCTGAGGCGCAGGTACTTGACAACATAATACACTGTGCGTCGGCGGATCCGCCAACGGTGCTAATGGCGAAGTTCGACGCAGGACGTATCGACTACTTGTGCCAAGCGGAGGAGATTGCGCACTTTGCTCAAGCATTCGAGGTCGACAGTCGTGCGGGAAAGTCACTGGGTCGTGAGGTCGTCGAAGTTCCCAATGATTCGACACAGCGCAAAGAAACGCGTATGTGCCACAAATGCAAGAAGCAGGGGAATATGAAGAAAACTGTCGCTCCCAGTGGAAGGAGAAGGAGGCCAAAGACGACTACGAAGAAGTGCTGCTGCTAGCAGTGAACGATAGTCGAGCAGATGCGAGCACTTACTGTATCTTTGACAGCGGCGCCAGCCGCCACATCGTGAGCGAAGAACGTTTACTCATAGGCAACAAGCAGTCAACGACGATATCTCTCTTGTTGAAAACTAGAAGCTCTTGCTTACGAAGGTCGGAGGGTGCGCCTTTTTGTGAAAGTGCTCGTCAAAAAGCGCCAGATCGATCTGTCGAACGTTTACTACGTGGCAAGTCTTGTGCACATCTTCGTCAGCTACGAGAAGTTCGAGCAGCGTAGGTACACAGTTACGTACACTGACAGTGGGCGTAAAGTCGTAAGGCGATCGGATGGACACGTCGCGTTTGACGCTAAGATGCCCAATAATGTTCCAGTCATCGAGACGTCCAGCGCGATCAAGTCAGCAGACGTGATATTTGCTGCTCTTGCGGAGGAAGCGACGTCAAGTGTATCGCCCGATGCACAAGAAGCGAAGTTCGAAAATTTCCATCAGAGTTCGAGAATAAGTCGTATGACAAGATCGAGAGGATCTCGAGAAGCCCGGGCAGTAGCATTCGCATCACAGATGGCAGGCGTTTGACGTGCATCACGTGTGCTCAGAGCAAACAGACGAAGAACAGCCAAATAAGCGGGACACCGGCGCGCACTCTCCAATTGATCGTGTCGGCGGAGTGATATGCATCAATCCCAACGGGACATTGGAACCGGCTGACCGCTTGCAGATCAGTGTCTTGTTATTATCGTCGATCATAATAGTAACTACTGTCTCTTCTTCCTGGCAAAGCTCCAGGGATACAGTCACAAAACAGTTCGAGCATTTTCTCGCTTTCTTTGAACGAGAGTTTAATTGCAAGGTCGCCGTTTTGCGTACATACGACGGAGGAGAGTACTAGCACTTCGACTAGTTTACAAGGAGACTGATGTTACTCGCCAAGTGAGTGAAGTGTGCAATAATGTGTTCAGCGGCAGGGCCAAACGCATGCACAGTAGAGTGTTGGACACGACGCGGGCGAAAATCTTTGTGTCGGGACTGCCTTAGATGATCTGGGGAGACGCTGCTAATAATGCGGCACACATACTCAACCGAAGTCCGACGAGCTCAAACCCGAAGCGCGCATTCCGAATTGAAGTCCTGACGAAGCAAGCTCCAGATATACGCGAGACTGTCGTCTTTGGTTCGCATTGCACAGTGTACCGTGATCGATTGAAGAACTTATAGGAGCATCGCGCTCAAGTTGGCACCATTTTTGTTCGAAGCCACAAGACGAATGGGTTCCGTGTTTACTTGCGCAAGGACAACGTATTTGTCGTCGCACAATATGTCAAGAATATCGAGTCACTGTCAACAGCGCAGAACGCACAACTGTAGCGCGAGCTCGAGAGCGACGACCACGCAGGCGCGAAGACCAGCAGCTACGCTGAAGATCCTGTGAATGCGACTCAACACGGTCACAAGGCGTCTGGCAAGAAGCCGAAGAAGAAGAATAGCGAGTGGACGAGGCAATCGATCGTCACAGATGTAGCATCGAAGTATTCCGCGACGAGCCAGGACGAGGCCGCTCGTAGTGTTGACGTGGTGAGCCACGTTTCTGAAGAACCACCACAAAGCGATCAAGAGCACGCAGTGTTCTAAACTCGAAGTAGGCGATGGACGAGGATTTCGCGGCTCTCGATTCCAGCGACGTGTTGATGGTTGTCTGTCGTTTGAGTGGCATCAACATCTTGCATTCCAAGTGGGTTTTCAAAACCAAAACGACCGCGGACGGTAAGCTCGAACGTTGCAAAGCCCGCTTAGTTGCATGTTTCAACGATAGAGTTCTAGGCGTTGACTACTTCCTGACCTTCGCTGCGGTCATGGATATATCCACAGTGAAACAGTAATCTTGGTACTTGCGGCGACGTGTGGTGCCACGTTTAGCACGGTGACATACCGAATGCGTATGTCAAAGCGTCGAAGGAACCGCATTTCGAGATCTTATTGCACATACCGAACGGCATGGACGTACTAGCGGCACGCATGCGCGTGCTCGGCGTCACAAGCACGAAGGACCTGGATTCAGAGATACGCAATAATCTCTATGGACTCAAAAAGGTCGGCCGACTCTGGAGTAAGCTGTTGTATCAGCGACTCGTCGGAGGCGGGTACATGCGGTGCATCAGCGACAGCTGCGTATACTACAGGCGAGTGGAAGCAGAGCTCGTGATTGCAGGCGTCTACGTCGACGACCTACTTGTCACTAGTACGTCTAGCGTAGTTTTCAAGCGGCTCTTCGACGTGATGCAGCGCCTCTCGGTCAAAATCTCGGTCCAGTTGCGAAGTTCCTCGGAACGCGTGTGAGCCAGACGGCGAGTGGGAGTTACGTTTTGGGCAAAGAGGAGGCCATAGTCGAGCTGCTGCAAGAGCATGAATTGAGCGACGCGAGTACCACGCGTTCGCCGATCGGACCAAACGTGTACAAGGTGCAAGATGCTGACAGCGAACTATTCGAAACCAAAAAAACGCAGGCAAGCACGTGATGATCCGGTCTGTCCAGTGTCATCCGGCTCGCTACTTTGAATCACACGATGCACGCGACCGGACGTGTCGTTGCAGTACACGAGGCAAATAAAAGACATACCAACCGCGTGTGCAAGACTGGAAACTCGCCAGGCGGATCGAAAGATTTGTAAAGGGGACTATCACGATGAAGATCGAGGTGGCGCCAGTGCGCAACGCGAGTGGCGCGCCGACGAAAAAATCGTTCATCGATGCAGACTTTGCTGTAGATAAGCAGGATCGCAAGTCAATCACCGGCGGCGTTGTGTGACTCAACGTTATAGTTGTGAGCTGGTGCGCGTAGAAGCAAAATGGTGTCACACTCAATACCATGCAAGCTGAAATCGCGGCTGCACCCAAAGTGGCACGGGTAGCTGCTGAAAATCCGTGAAATGCTGCGTGAGATGGGCATGGAACCAGCACCACCAATGACGATGCGTGTCGACAATCAGGCCGCCGTTTGCCAGATCAACGGTGAAGCGACATCAACAAGAGCAAAACACATCGACGTCCGATTTGTAAAAATTAAACTAGGTTGTGGAACTGTTACTTAGAAAAAGATGGCTTACGGCCGGGGATAAAAATTGAAAAGTGAGTTGTATTCAATTTATTCCTAGCTTCAAAAACGAATAGCTAGTAGTAGCCAGTGTCTCTCAGCCACCTACTTCGTGCCCTATCTCCACCACATTCTGTTTTATCTATCACTGGGTAATTACGTCTCGTAAATACCTTTCGTAAAAACTTTGCTGTGTCATATGCAGAATGTAAACGATTGCGTGGTTGTGGGGGACTTAACTGCGGGTGGGTCATAGTTCTGGTGAACCCCAAACACCAGGTCGTGGGTGTCAGTCACAATTAACTTGAACACGGCGGGATTCAAACCCACACTCACCCGCGTGAAATCTCTCTTCCCAAACGACTGAGCCAATCCGATGCTATGTCGTAACGCTAACATCCCACTGTATAAACCTGCCAAAGAACAATACAACTAGTGCTAATATGCAATATACATCCTGCACAAGTTGCCGCATCGTCACTCGCTAACACGATTGAAGTTTTTCTGTCACTACGCTCGTCGCAGCGTGATCGAGGCCCAGCACGTGCGGTCAGAACTCATGCTGACAGACTTGCTCACCAAGGTGGTCGATCAGCACAAAATGGTGAGGTTACGAGGGCTGCTACGTGTCGGCTAGTGCGCCAAAAGGTGAGAACGTGTGAATGCATGATCGCAAGAGTCGCATTGAAGATGCGAAAAGTCACTGAGCTCCAGTATGCAGCGCGAAAGAGAGAGGCAGACGATGTACGGCAGCAGTTGCGACGGCATGATGTGGCGCAGTGAACAGTCACGATGGCGTGTGCGACGCTGTGAGTAGTCGCGACGAGTGGAAGGACCGCGTACCTGTAGGATCGTATGGTGCGAGCGCAGTGAGAAGGTTGCATGAATGGTAGTGAAGAGCTAGTGAGCTAGAGAAACCGACAGATAGCGAGCGCGAGAGCTGTGTTATGAATGCCAGAATCCAATTTGCCTTCTACATCGTACACCTTGTAGTGTTGGAGTTGCAACAGCGCAGTGCATAAGCGTGTTGCGGATAGCACAGGTCGCGTATAAGTCCCCACCCGTCGACAGTTTAGAAGCTCCGCCAGCCCAATTTTGGTCAAGTCGGTGGCCGACATGAAAGCGTTCGTTAACCAAACGTCTCGACAATGATGTATTTTAAATTTAGTTTAGACTATACTGATCGCATAATGCAACAAATACATATCAACACACAGTAGAAATGTGTAACGGGGCACCCTGAAGCTTGTACTGGTGACAGTACAAGCTACTTATTCTGATGACAGAATAAGGCGGTGCCTCGTAACTTCACGTACACTCGTACGTGCAGAGGAAGACGGTAAGAAGAAGCGAGTACTTGGTTAGAGTAAAAAGTAGAACTGTATTTATAATAGTTAATGTCTGCAATAAATCACTATTTATCTTCATCTAACTATGTCTAAATACAAATGTGTAAATCAGTTATCTGCTCACCACTCATTGCGTGCGTCTGTCGTGGCGCGTCTTCGTTGGTTGATATAATGGCCTATATCAACCAATTAGGAACTACTTGGAAGTGCTACAGAATATTGTCCTTATGACAATATTCTGAGAATATAACTCTTATAGTTATATTCTATTAACAATTTCTTATAAATTGTTATGTAACGATTCACCCCGTTACATCACCCCCCTTAACCATCAGTCACTTTAGTGACTGATTGACTAAATGGATACTCGTCCCAAATCATTTGGGACGGGGTTTCCACTTGTTGGTCCGCGTCCACTTTCCAACATCTCATCGCATGGTAAACAAGCCCATGCGATGCGCGAGCAAGGCCGCCGAGAGCGCGTCTGCACGTCTCTGTGCGGACGCCGAAGCAGAAACTACAGCAACTGATATCCCATCGGTTGCTGAATCGACTCAGCCTGTATCACCTGGTGATGCAGGCGCTGGTCATGAAGACACTCGTGTCTTCACAGAGTACGAGCTCGGTGTCTCGTACTCTCCTGATACGGATGACGGATCCGTATCGACGGCAATTGAATCCAAGCCGCCTGCCAAGCGTGGCATGGACGATGCTTTGCGTCGCAGCATCTTTGGTTCATCTGATGAGTCAGATGAACCATCGCCAAGCGAAGGCGCTCGAGGTCGCGAGACTCGGGCGCTAATAGTGGTGTCGTTTCTCCAATGGACACCACTTCACAGCGAGTGCCAGTACTTCTGTCGGCACGTCGCAGGAAGAGCGGGACCGCAATGTGTTGCGTCTCGCTCCAGAAAAGAAGGCATGGATGCCTCCTAAATCTGTCATGGATCACTTGTCGGCGACGACGAGTGATCGTTATCGAACACGATTGTTCGATTCGTCAGAGATTCATCACCTTGACCCCAGCGCGAAAGACTATCGCGCTGAACATGAAGTTCTTCATCGATGCTTTCTTCAGACATCGATGGTACAGTGGGAATCACAAACGTGATGGTCCCTCACTACTTCAGGCGTGGAACGCCTACATCCATAATCTCGAGGATGTAGGTCGTGACGCTTGGAACGACAAACTTATCAAAGCTCGTGATAAGTTTGAAAAGCGAACCCCGACAGGTGCACGCTACAAGCTGCATCGTCTGTCAAGGGAGAAAGGATTACCCTGCCTCTCTTGGGGAGACTCGTGCCCATGTTGTGTGAACAACTCTGCACGAGCACCTAAGGAGGCTTACCTCCTTACCAGCCCGTGGTGGCGCGTACGTGTCTCTACTGAGATGTACGAAGGGATTGACAACCTGAAATCCCTTTACGACCGTGCCGGGAAGACTTTCTCCGGCGGTCCTTCTGCGGCACAGGATGTGTCGCGTCGTACTGCTCGACCAGACCCAGTACGTCAACCATCAATTGGGAGCGGGGCTCCCAAGAATCCCAGGACGGGGGATAGCCGCGCCACCGGACGAGGTAACTCGTCCGACGTCCGTTCACGTCGCGGTGGTTCAACAGCTGCTCTACTAGATAGCGCTGGCCACCGCGAGAGTCCTCTAATGGAGGTGGAGGAGGAGGAAAGACGCTCTCCACACGATCATGTGGATCGGTGTGTTCCCGAGAGCTTCTTTGATCGCGTAACGCAAGGGTTACGCGACGATCTCGAGCATGAGCGGAATAGGCGTCTCCAGATGGTGGACACTGCCTCGAAGCATCGAGCTGAGTTTGCCTTTGCTCAGCTTGAGAACGAGAGATCTCTGACATCTCTTCGTGACGAGCTAAGGGTAGCTCGTGGGATTGTTGATCGGTCTCAGGCTGAGATAACTGCTCTTCAGACCCTTGTTGATGCCCACCATCGGGAGCACAAGGCTCTCTGCGAGATGCTTGAGCGCAAGGGCGTTCTTCATCGGAAGAAGCAGCGTACTGATGGTACGGCTTAAGCCGACCAACGTAAAACGTGGGATGCGTTCGCATCTTACGTGGTAACTCGATCGTGTATGCATTGCCTAGGCGGTGCAATACACGAAATGGACCAATGTACTTGGGTAGTAGTTTACTGCTACCCAAGTTAGTCACTACATGTTTTGGTAGATTAACCGTAGACAGTAGGACTAAGTCACCTTTATTAAATAAAGAGTGTTTGCCCTTCCATTCTTGTCAGCGTTTTGCTTTTGCTTATCCACCGCTTCGGCGATGGAGTCTTGCACAAAACGGACTACCGTTTCACGAGCCAGTATGAACTCATCTGATGACTCGTTAGCTTCAGTGTGCTGTGAGCGCACTGCAGCGACAACAACCTTTTCTTCAGTGAGGGCTTCCGCACTCTCACTGGGATCATTGTCTTCAGTGAGGGCTTCCGCACTCTCACTGGCATCATCTTCTTCGATATCGATGTTATCGATATCGGCATCAAACGCAATGACTTCTTCGTCAGAGCGTGATGAGCGTGAACCAAATCGGTTTTTGCTCGCGCGAGTCCCTCCCCCCTTAAACCAGAGTTACACTCTAGTAAGGTGGGTACACGCGGATGGCGCAAGCCATTCACGTAAAACGGTGTATGTGTCGTGGACGCATGCACCGAGTTGTTGATGGCAAACTCTACCATCGGCAAAAACTCACTCCAACTCTTAAAGGAGTGTACGTATCCTCGAAGTATCTCTTCAAGGACACGATTGGCACGTTCCGTCTGACCATCTGACTCTGGATGATCAGATGTTGACATCTTCAAGCGCGTTCCGAGTGATTTGAACACGGAACGCCAGAAATCAACAGTGAATCGTGGATCTCTGTCTGATACGAGTTCACGGGGCAACCCATGAAGTCGGAAGATGGTGTCAATAAAGACACAAGCACAGCCACTTGCCGTGATTGTCTCTGGTACAGCCACAAGGTGTACCATTTTGCTGAATCTGTCAACAAATACGAGAATACCCGTATTCCCGCGTGCGTCTTTGGGTAACCCGAAGACGAAATCCGTGAGATGGATTCCCAGCACTCAGCCGGAACCGGTAGAGGCTGTAAAGGTGCACGCAGTGAAGGACTTGACTTCACTCGTTGGCAGACTTCGCATGCGCGAACATACTTTCGCACAAACTGATACTGGCGGGGCCAGTAAAAGTCTCGACTTACCGTGAGATATGTTTTCTCTCGGCCACGATGTCCTCCTATAGGAGCATCGTGATACTCGAACATGATCCGCAAACGCAGATCAGTATCATCTGGAATGACAACACGTGGTGTGTCACCAGAAACGGCTGTATAGTACAGTAAACCGTTACGAGTAGTGTATCGATCTGATGCAGATCGATACGCGAACGACAATCGTTTCAACGATTCTCGAGATGGTTGGGAGAGATGTGACAACAACTTCACTATCTCACCATCTTGGGCGTATGCCCGCCTCACATCATCATACAACGTTGTAGATGGAACTGAGGACGTCATAACCGCAACAGTGACTGTCTCACTGTTGGGTTTCGCGACTGTTTCAAAGTCGGGACGACGTGAGAGTGCATCAGCGACGACATTAAGTCGTCCTGGTTTGTACTCGACCGTAAAGTTGTATTCTGCAAAGAATGACAACCACCGCGCCATTCGTTGTGAAAGGTGCGGGCTGTTCACTGCCGTGCGTAAGGACGCATGGTCAGTGTAAACAACGAAGGGTCTATCTCCTAATAGATAGACTCTGAACTTCGCGAGTGCATACTTCATGGCAAGGAGTTCCTTGTCATGCACTGGATAGTTCCGCTCAGCTGGTTGCAGCTGACGCGACTGATAGCAGACGACGCGTTCAACGCCTTCAAGGTCGTACTGCATTAATGCACAGCCGATTGCGAAATCGCTGGCATCACAGACCACATGAAATGGCCTGTCCTGATCGGCTATTGCTAGGACTGGGGATTGTATCAAGCTCTGCTTGATACCCTCAAAGGCGTTGACATTCAGCGTTCCATAACCACCTCTCGTTCTTTTTCAACAAACGAGAGAGGTGTACAGTCATCTCGGCGTAATTGCGTGAATACTTATGCAAATACGCCGCTAGCTAAGGAATTTTCGAAGACCTTTGACATCGACCGGCACGGGCCAGTCGGTGATCGCCTTGATCTTTTCGGGATCAGGACGTACACCGTTCTTACCAACGATGCACCCAAGAAGTGGTATTTCGCTTGCTGCAAATATACACTTCTTGAGGTTTGCATACAATTGATGCTTTCGCATGATTGTAAGAACTTGTCGGACGTGGTACTTGTGAACCTCAACGTCCGACTTTCCATCCATAGCTCGACTATGGATGAATACGTCATCGAAATAACTCGGCGCGAATTCTCGTACTGGCCTCAACAGATGTGATACACACCTGTTGAACGTGGCAGGGGCATTACTGAGCCCTTGTGGCATTACTAGCCATTCCCAGAGCATGCCGCTAGGCGTGCTAACTGCGGTATAGGGTATATCCCGTTCCCGCATTAGGATTTGATAGAAGCCATCCATCAAATCCATGGACGAAAAGATGGTACTCTTTGACATACCATCAATGATTACGTCCTTCCTCGGTATCGGCGTCTGAGCCGGTACCGTTGCAGCGTTCAATTTGTTAAACGCGTGCACTATCCGCCACCCTCCTGTTGCTTTTCGCACACAGAAGGTCGGAGAGCTATGTGGGGAAGTTGATTCCCTCACATGGCCCGCTGCTAAACGATCGGCAAAGAACTTGTCGATCGCAAGTACTGTTCACGAGGCAGTGGCCACTGCTTCATGACACAGTACTTCGAGCCTGGTTTAAGCTCGACTTCGTGTCGAATACCTTTATCCTTCGGTAATTCGCACGGAACAGTTTCAGGGAATACATCCTTGAATTCAACCAAATCTTCATAGAGAGGATTTTCCTTGAGCGATTCCCATGATTGGGACTCATATCGCTCAATTCGTGTCTTTTCATCTAGGACACTCTCGTCCATAGATGAACTACTGAGAACTCTCTCGTTCTCAGTAAACACTGTTGCTGACCTTATGTCGGTTACATACTCGTCGTCAGCGACGAGTATGCAGATCTGCTTGACTTTGCCACTACGCAGATCACGCAAGAACCTTTTATGTTCGAGCGTTGGCAACTGAGTGATCTCCGAAGTTAACTTCGGAGGCGCAATCAGATCAAGTGTATAAGCGCCTACACATGATCCGTTATTGACTATGACATTCAATGTCTCTGTCATTTCCTGGGGACTTATTCCCTCAGGCTTCGAAGGACTTATTCCTTCGTCTTCCCGGGGACTTATTCCCGCGGGTTTCGGGGAACTTATTTCCGCCGTATTTGTAATCTTGGGACTTATTCCCTTTACTTCCTCTAGCTGGGGTTGCGCAACCACAGCGAGATCCTCTACGAAAGACTCTCCAGTCGATCTAGGATTATCGTTTCGCTTAACCTGAGCGATCGATTGTTTCTCTTCTAGATGTTCCCCTCTAGGGATACATCTTTGTCCCAGTCCACCCGACTTATTCGAGTGGTGGACCTTCGGCGCAGCCTGTGTTTCCCTCACAGCCGCCGGAACTTTGCTCCGAAGTGTAACCGTTTGGTACACTAAGGTTTTGTGCAGTCGTACTAACGACCGTACCACAAGTGAGGCCATCGCACTCACTCGTAGTACATCCACACGCTTGTGGACGCTCCAAAACGTTCATCAGATGGCCATCTGATGAACAAGCGGCGAGCATCGTTACTGTCCGATGTTGCCAGTTTACCCGTGGTTCGTACCTTCTGAGCCACGGTATTCCAGGATGACATCAAATTTGTCATCCAAATCCAATACGATAAAGTCATCGTCGTATTGGGTATCTTCTAGCGTATAGTGAATCTTCACTATACGCTTCATGACAGTTACGGATGCGCCTGTCGCAAGACGTACCGTCATCCTCGTAGGAGGTGTGTCACATTCACTGAATTTAAAGTGACCATCTTCTAGCGATTGGCGTCGCACAAAATTGTTGGACGCCCCACAATCGACTAGAGCTCGAAGGGACAACTTATTCGTCACTTCGAGTTTCAAGTAATGAGTGAGATCTCATTACCTAGAGCAGCAACGCACAATGTCTGTGTGTTGGGAGCAACCTTCATCAAGAGGCCTACAAATTCTCTTGACGTTGCTGGATCAGTAGGGTGCTCCGCACCTACTGATCCTGTCCGTTTTTGACGGTCCATCCCGTTGTTGCGTCTTTGCACCAACTGCGGACCCTCGTCCCTGCCCCTTTCTCATGGGTGGACGGTCACTACGCCCAGTGTCGCGAGACACTGGACGAGGGCACTACACTCGTAAGCGTAGTGTCCTGTCTTTTGACATCTGTTGCATCTCTGCAACTTCTTGTAGCCTGTAGAGCGAGCCTTCTCGCTCTCTACATAACAGAGTTCCATCGGCTCTGGACCTCCGTTGTCATATCGTCTCGGTTGACGATATGATGTCGAGCTGGCGCGAGCCTGTCTCAGACTGAAGTCTTCCTGCTCCGCAATTGAAATGGCTTGTTCTAGTGAATCTAGTTCAAGCCGGAACAGGTGAGTCTTGACGGGACCATCCGCAAGACCCTGCATGAACACCGAAACCAACGTGTGTTCATCCACCGGATTGGAACTTATACAACTCGTGAGATGTCGTATATGTTGAGCGTAAGCGTGCACATCACGCTTACCCTGCTTGAGCTTCAAGAGTTCGGTTCGAGCTCTGAACTCAGCTCTAGGCGGTTCAAACGTTTGTCTGAGGCCGCGACTTGAAGACTTCCAACGACCCAAACGCGTATGGGTCGTGCAGCTTGAGCCCCAGTGCCCAAGTCTTGGCACGTCCTGCCAGATTTGACTGGGCAAATGCAACTTGCATATCCCCGTCGTCGATGCGACGCGCCCTTATGGCGTCATCCAATTCGACGAACCATCTCAAGAGGAGTCTTCTTCGACCCCCTATACTTTGAGATGTCAATCTTCAAAGTCTCGGGCCGACGCGAGTGCATCGACCCGCCAGCAGCAGCCTGCTGCTGTCTCAACAGTTCAAACTGTTGAGCACCTTGTTCTCTCAACAACTCTGCTTGTTGAGAACCTTGTTGGTGAAGCAAGGCTACTTTCTCGCGTTCTGCGTCAAGTTCATTTTGAATGAACTTGGCGATAGTAACATGTTGGGCATCTCTATTGAGAGCCTCTAGCATGACGCTAACAGCATGGATGCCCATGGTCGAACCCATTCGTTCAACCGCATCCCATTCGACATCGCTCAAATGGGAGTAGCCGTCACGCGTAGCGTGAAAGCTTTGGTCATCTTCATCATCCAACATATTCATGTTGGATGTGAACGCGGTCCTTGGACGGACTACAAAGTGCTACCAGGTGTAACGGGGCACCCTGAAGCTTGTACTGGTGACAGTACAAGCTACTTATTCTGATAACAGAATAAGGCGGTGCCTCGTAACTTCACGTACACTCGTACGTGCAGAGGAAGACGGTAAGAAGAAGCGAGTACTTGGTTAGAGTAAAAAGTAGAACTGTATTTATAATAGTTAATGTCTGCAATAAATCACTATTTATCTTCATCTAACTATGTCTAAATACAAATGTGTAAATCAGTTATCTGCTCACCACTCATTGCGTGCGTCTGTCGTGGCGCGTCTTCGTTGGTTGATATAATGGCCTATATCAATCAATTAGGAACTACTTGGAAGTGCTACAGAATATTGTCCTTATGACAATATTCTGAGAATATAACTCTTATAGTTATATTCTATTAACAATTTCTTATAAATTGTTATGTAACGATTCACCCCGTTACAAAATGCGCATAATAATGTGAATAGGGCGCATTTTGTAGCCTACGATGGAGCAGCAGGCTGGCCGGCAGGCTGTGGAGCGAAACACGACAGAATGACTCGAGGTTCCTGCAGACCGGACCAGTGCGGGAAGTGTGGTAGCACTAATTGACACAATAGTGCGACCTTCCACCTTGTTGAGGCCTAACGTAAAGAATCGTGTCATTCTCTTCATATTACACTGCGAATATAATTCTGTGACTCGTGGGACAAGGGTTTGTGACTTGCCAACCGAGAATGTATACACCCAGTAAACAATCCCATTTGACTTGTTAGAAGCGACCACTAGTCATTATTGTTAGGGTAGAACGTTCTCCCACCATCGATGAACAGGTCTGACGTGAAGGACTCACCCTACTATTAACCTAGGATGAAGCGAGCTGCACCAGATTCTTCTTTATGTCCGAGTCCGAACAAGTACATGTACGAGTCAATTACTGCAAGCTGTCACGAGATGCCTTCACAACACCCACGTCAGAATCGAACTTACACTTCCCTGCACAGAACACTGGGGCATGCACCACTCCGCTGGAGCGCATACAACCCCTCCTCTTGCAACCTCAACTCTTGGCCCTTCATCATACCGGTACTCTGTACCACCTAGAGTGGTACCCTGTACCTACTACTGGTCATCGCCGTAATTTACGGCTGTGTGATAAACTGAAAAGTAATTAGATTTTCAAAATATCTTGTTACATTCTGGTGTAATTGTGAAATCCTGTCACCTTTCGCACTTATTCCATAGATTATTCAGTTTGGTCTAAAATGGACGGTAAAGTCCAAAAATTTTCAGACAAACGACCGACACAAAAGTTGTGCAACCGATATCGCATTTATTGCAACATGGCTACACCGCGCAAGCAGATATTGCAAGAGACGTTCGACGAGTGCGTGGCCGAGAATGTCGCGGACTTTGACCTGTCTCTCGAGGAAGCCACGGCCGATGCAGTGCAGCAATTCGAGTCACAAGGCGTCGATCTCTCCAACATCCTCAAGAACAGCGTGGAAGGGCAGGAGCCGCTGTCTGGACGGCTACAGCAGCTCCTCTTGGAGTTACGCGAGTGTCTAAACCTCAAAAAGACAGGCAAAAGATACGTACTGGACGTGGTCATGGAGCTACAGAGCGTGTGTAATCAAGTTCCAGAGGCTCGTGTAGTGGCGGGACGGAACGATGCTGTGGGTACGCTACTTGCTCTACTGGACACGGACTCTGATGCTGTCGTAGCGTCCTGCAGCACGCTGTTGGCGCTTCTGTGTACCGAAAACGGGGACAATCAGGATGTTATGGGCAGTGCAGGTATGCAGAGACTGGTGGCTGTTTTACAGCAGAAGTGGGAGACTGCAGAGACTGTGGTGTGTGTTCTAGCACTGGTGAAAGCTGCGTGTGTTAAGCACGAGAGCAACAAAGCGCAGTTTACCAAAACGGGTGGTGGCGAGGTGCTTTGTGGTTATCTCGACCAAGCAAAGGGAGATGAGGTGATGTTGACGTCACTGGCGCAGTGTTTGCGTGTGCTGACTATCAACGACGATCCGCGTGCGACGTTCTCGCAAGCACAGGATACGATTCGAGTTCTGGTCGAACGTCATGTAATCCCGTACAGTTTAGACATCCTGCGTCATGAAATAGCAAGTGGACCGACTCTGTCACTAGATTTGCTGGTCAACTGGCTTGCAGTGCTTGCACAAGTTGCCGTGAGGAAAGAAAACTGTCAACAAATTGCTGACCTGGATGGGCTGACCGCCGTCCAGAACGTCATGCGGACGTTTGAAGACAGTGCAGTGGTAGCCAACCGTTGCATCAAACTTTTCCGAAACGTGGCGGCGGCGGACGAGTTGAAGCGTGTGATTTTGCAATGTGGAAGCATCGGACAGACATTGCTGGTCATGCGGCGCTACGAGTCAGATGCATCGATCCAACAGAACGCATGTGCAACGTTAGCCGCTGTTGCACTTCGCTCGCCAGAGAATAGCCGTGTGCTCGTCGAGCTCGGAGCAATCCGGCATATCTCCCGAGCCATGCAGGTCCATGACAAAAATGTAGCGGTATTGCGCCAAGCAAGTCTAGCGGTGCGCAACATGGTGGCCCGCAATGTGGAATTACGCTCACGCTTTTTGCACGATGAACCAAAGCTGGAGCCACTGCTTCGTGAGGCGCAAAAGTATCGTGGCTGCGGGGATGAAGCATACGCAGCGCTGCGAGACCTGGGCTGCAATATTCAGCTGTCTTCGTTTGGAGTTGCCGCCGTGGCTGCAGGATCAATCAGCGTACCCACCACTGCGTTACGCTTCAACCCGGTCCAGCTTCAATCCAACGAATTGCATGACAGTGTCGACGAGGTTTCGGAGGATTCGTTCTCTCACTAGTGATGCACCAACAATGCTTCAATGCAACTACTATACGCGGCAGCAGGCGGTCAACGAATAGCATCTTTCATTTAGCTCAGTTCCCTGCTTTTGCGTGCAATTTCGACCTAGCTCGCTCTCCTCGCGGTCTTCCATTCCTCGTACATGCGTCAACCCGTCATCCTGGCTTCCTATGCCCCCGCCCACGGTCTAACGCCTGACACCAACTACAGTCACGCAATCTTTGCTTGGAGTCCTGTCGACTGCATCTAGCAGGCAAGGTACAAACACGGCAACGCTGCCACAAGACCGATAGGCACCCATCACTGCAGCTACTTCTCGTTCCGTTACGTAGAAAAGAAAACAGCCAGCAGAGCAGCGCGTTCTACTACTCCACCGTTTTGCGATCCGTCCAATGACTCGAAACGCTTTATGCGATCGCCTGCCAACTCTGTTCGACGATCTCGCGCACGCGGCGATTGTACTCCCGTCGATTTTCTTGGAAAAGTCGCGCGGCCTCCGAGTTTGCCGGCGAGTTCGGGTTCGGGTCGCACAGCAGCGACTGGATGGACGTGAGGATCGCCGAGATGTCGTAGATGGGCGACCACTGGTTCTGCAAAATGTCCAGACAAATCTGACCGTCGTTGTAGACTGCAACACACACGAAAACCAGCAACAGCAGCAAAGCAGCTGGTCAGTCCCAACGAAACGCTGTCTCAGCAACACTGACACCAGGCACGTACTGTTTGGATGGAACATTTTCGTGATAAATTTGACAGTCGGCGCCTTGTTCGGATAGTCTTCACTAAACTCGAGCGTCAGATTAAACGTCCCACCTTCCCACGGTGTATCGTCCGGTCTGGTAATTTATTGTTGTACAAAAAAAGAACGACGAAAAATAAAACCACACGAGGTTAAACAAATAAACACAAGGTTAAATCGAAAACACACACACACATTTAACCTCAAAGGCACGTAGAATGGGTACAATAGTAGTGTCCGTACCCAAAAATAACGGCCTGCCAGAGCATGATATTGTTGTCCATGGGAGCGCCCGAGACGCCCGACGGCGGGTCGTTCTGCAACTTGCGAAAGTCACGCATTAACCGGCGACGTGCAGCGGTAGACATGGTGGAGTGGGTGGCTTATCCGGAGACGAGCGAGCAGCAAAGACGACTTGGCGCTAGAGCGGCGACTGACTGACTCACTGGTCGTTAACTTGGTTTGACTATGGAGAAAGAAGACAGCGGACAATCGAGAAAAGGGTTTGTCCCTGCAAAAAACGATTGCGATCGATTTGCCAGCAAAGTACGTCCGCGTGAGCTGGCCAGAGCCGAACTTAATGGAGGCAGCGCCGTGTGCAGCGGTATCGGTTTTTTGTGCCGGTTACATTAACCGGTATCGCGCGGTCATCGTGTTGGTGACTCACCGACAAGTGGCAGTAACTGCCACCAGCGTGCATAAAACAAAGACACGTCTCGTTTGCTGCTGGTGTTGCCGTGTCACATTTTGTTCTGCTTGACTTTAGCCGTTGTTGCTCTTATTGCCTCTACGATGTATGGCACCATGGTCAAGTGTGGCATCACAAGCAGATCCAGGCAATCAGTAATGGACCACTTGCCTTGCCTCTTATGCCGTGGCTGCAAGTACTTGTAAAGCCTTAGAATATGCAGCTCGGTGATAAACAAAGGTGTGCACCAGCGACAACAAGACTCATCATGGTAGTGCTGCTTTGTCAATCTTGAAGCGGTCAACTGTCTTGATGCGTCGTCGCGCTCGAGCCAGTCGAACCCTGTACCGCGCCGCTAAAGAAGCAGCCGGCGCGCGGCATCGCATGGAGTCTCAGACGATCGGAGGACCATCACGTGCACGAATCATCGTTAAAGACGTAAACCGGAGCGCCACTATGATCGTTTGTGCGCTCCTAGAGAGAAATTTATGCCGCGCGGTCCTTCAGATCACCCTGGGGTGATTTGCGAGTACTCTGACTCAGTTTGAACTCCTTACAGGACCCGCACCCCTCATTACGCTATGGGGCTTTTCGGCTTGTAGGGCCTCCGGACGGCACCGGCCACCCATTGGTGGTTGCTCGTCTACATTGTTAGCCTATCTCCGGCGCCCTGTAATCGAACTCCCACCGGGCATCGATCCAGGTACCTCCCGGTCCCAGTTCCAGTGGTCTACCACTCGGCCACTGGGGTCGATTTTGTGCGCTCCAACGGTCATACATAACAGTGTACATCACCATCCACACGTGTCACTTACATCCATGCCATCCTTTGTCGGAATTATACCAGGAAGTCGACAGGTGTCGGACTGTGCCTCTCGGGTCTGTACATTCTAGCTTCGCTTCTCTATCATCCATCGCGCAAGACCTGGAAGCAGATGGCAAGAGCAACAGAGTAGAGCGCTATGCGTTGGTCAGATACTGTGCACAAAGCAAGTGTCGAATGCTCCAACAGTTTCTTTGATTGAGCTTACCATGCACGTGGGAGATGCGGTCTTCGATAAATAGATACGAACTTGAGTGTATCGTAGCTCTCTCCTTCCTGCTGTTTTCTGACGAGATCTTGTTTCTTCGCCACCGATTTTCACTCATACTGCCGCAATGCTTCTCTTGGCATCACAACCAACAGTCGTCTACGTCATCACCACACCTTCAAAAAGCACCACGCGACTCTTATTCAGCTCCTTGCACACTTTCTTCATGCTCTTCTCGCCAATCATCGTGACATCACTAATCTCCTGGATCGACCGCTTCGAATTCGTGTACGCGGCCACGAGGTAAATCACTGAAGCCGCCACTGCAACAGGTGGTTGTCCATTCGATAGTTCCAAACTATCTGCCTTCTTCGCCACTGCATGCGCAATCATCTGCGTCTTACTCGGCAGACCAAGTCTCGAGCAGAAGCGCTGCACGTACTCTTCCGTTGTCGCCTGCTTGACCTCCAGATCTAGACGACGTTGCAAGCTCATAAACGACTTGCCAATCCGTCGTTTTGGAACTCCCGACGCGTCTTCAAACTCCTTGAGCGAGCGCGCGTTGCCAGCTTTTCGACACGCGATAAACAACACGGCAGCAACCATACTGTCCCGCTCGGGTCCTCGCATATTGACGCCCTGTCTCTCCGCTTCAGCGTACACGTCCAACGCAACCTCGACAATCTTCTTCGGAAGCGTCAGAAAGTCCGCAACTTCTTGGATCCGCGTCATGTTGCGCTGCATCTTCCTCACTTTGGCACTATCCGACGAGACATTCGGTCGCTTGTGTTTCCCGCCAGGCTCAGCCCCAGCACTCGAACTGCCGCCACCAGCTTTCTTTGTGTCCACCAAATACGTGGACAGCGAGACACTGTCTAGCCGTGCGTCCGCGACGTCGCCGACCCTGGATTTCGCAGCCGAGTCACCACCTCGATCATCATTAGCAAACGTCCGCCATTCCGGGGAATCATCTATAATGCGCTCACCGAGGATCATGCCGCAGCTGCGACACACGACGTCACCTGCGCTAAAGTCCGTCACCACGTCCGCGCTTCCGCACTCCCGGCAATGGTCCGGGGCACACTCGCCGCCCATATAAACGGTAGGTATCGATCGAGAGGTTCGTCAAGTACGTATTGGGACTATACGGGTCAACGATTGGCGTCCACTCGGTGCTCGAGACGGACGTTACAGACCGGCGCTGTCGTGGTCGTGAGCTCCTTTTTGTCGACGGGATTCCAATGGAGTAGCTTTTGGACGGTGGTCCACTCACGTGGGTCGTACCTAAGTGGGTGCTTGGTTTGGTTACGTACATTACACAACTTACGTCACGAGGCAGTGCATGTTGACAATGTTTTTTTATGCGGGGCAAAGTGTGGAGTACATTTTGCTTGATAGGATATGCAGCGACGGTAACAATGGAAGCTTGCTCTTGTGCTCGATACGAAGCGCATGGTGACCATTGAAGCTGTTAGACGGAATGGATAATGGCATACGATGCGTGTAGATCGTAGGCCGCACTGCGTGATCGTCACATGAGTTGTGCATTGTCGACGCAGCATAGTCCATCCATGTTCATGTTCCGTACCCAATGCCAAGTCGCTCGTGCCACGTCTCTCCTTGTCCACGTTCTGCATCTTGCTCACTTGCTAAAACTTGAATCCCTTCTTTGCAAGGTCCAGTTTCGCTGCTACCACATGTTCATCCAGTTCCTTGGATGCCTCGGGGAAGTCTTGTACTGCCATGACTGACAACGTGATCACTGCCAGCGAGTACACGCCAAAAGACACGACCGCAAGCAAGGGCAGCGCTTTTACTACCGTCACCATGTGGGGATTGAGCACATGCTTGGACACGTATTGCAGCAGCGATAGCCACAGCGTGAGTAATGTGACACCTGCAGCGAGCCACTTCTGGTACTTGAGCATCGTCGAGGAAGAGAAGGAGTCTCGACTTTTGTGTGTGTACGTCACACCACACAATCCGCATACTGCTGCTGATTCGTCAAAAACAAATCCTCAAATCAACACCGCCCATTGGCTAAATATCGATCAAGCCATGCTCAAGTCCCGGATTATGTCGGCGCCTGCAGGTGACTCGAGCGACATGACGGCGGTCGCCAACGGCAAGACACAAGGTCGACGCCGATCGGACCTGATGGATGAAGAGCGACTGAATATGGCCAAGTTTCTGCTCCAGCATCGACAAGGACAGCCGCGTCTGCCGCGAGCAGTCATCGCTGCAACTGCCGACAAATTCCAAGACCATCGGAATACGGTGTTCCGTATTTGGAGTTGCGTGAAGACAATGCTGGACAGTGGATGATCTACTGACGTGGTGCTTCACTAGATGCTTTCCAGGAAGCGTGGCAATCGCGGACGCAAAAGAAAGGACTACGCAATTGCACTGGAACGAGTCAAGCAGCTGCCTTTGGACCAGCGCGGCTCGCTGCGTGCTCTTCGTCGACTGTAGGAGTCCCTCGCACCACATTGTTACGTCTGCAACGGAAAGGTAAGACCACGGAAAGGACTGTGAGTGCTGCTGGGTATCTAGAGACTTGTTTGGACGTACAGCCGACGATCGCCAACATTAATGAACCGGCACTGTCGGATCAAAACACGAGTGAGCGCGTGCGCTTTTGCTGTCGCAAGATGCAGCCAAATGGCGTGTTTGACATTTGTACAGCTTCGTGATCGGTAATCATTAAACCCATTGAAGCTGTCGTGTGTGCACCACACGACACGGGCATGAATCGCCCATTATTAGCCAATGCGAAGGGCCACGCAAGACTGCGTCCAGCCCGAAGTGCCTCGTCCACCAATTTCAAGACCCCTCATGACCACGTCCGAGCTCGCGTCGCCTTGTCCAGCTACCGAGACGCCGTGCAGCGCTCCTGGGTCTGTAGCAGAGCTCCAAGTCAATGGAGAAGCTCCGCAAGATGCTGCTTTATCGTCTGACAAGAAAACGAGCGCCTGGAAAGAGCGTGGCAGCAAGAACTTGACGTACGAAGAACGCCGCTCCATGCTCGATTTCCTCCTCAAGAGGCGCGTCGATGGCACGTCCAAGCTCGTGCGTCACGCTGTCACAGATGCAGCCACGGAGTTTCGAGTAGATCGTCGCACGGTCTCTCGGCTGTGGAAACGAGCAGTGCAGAGTCTCGAGAATGGAGACGAGGTGTGTGACGTGGCGTCACGCAAAGTCGGACGTCGTGGTCGTCGGAAGCGCGACTGGTCGGCGGAACTCAAGCGCGTGAAGGAGATTCCCGTGTCTCAACGAGGCTCGATCCGCGCACTGGCTGTTGCCGTGGGTATTCCCAAGACGACGCTCTACGAGCTCTTGAAAGAGAACGGGAATCCTTGTATTAACTCAATCAAGCCGTCGCTCACGGACAAGAATAAACTGGACCGACTGCGGTATTGCGCCAACAAGGTGCGACCGAATGGTCTATTTGACGACATGCACAACGTCGTGCATGTCAATGTCAAGTGGTTTGCTTCTTCGAGGGACAAGAAGACCAAAGTTATGTTTCTGGTAGCAGTAGCAAGACCGCAGTGGGATCTGCACAAGAACGAGTGTTTTGATGGCAAAATTGGCATGTGGCCGTTTGTGCGGGAAGTAACGCAGGCACACGATGCAGATGGGCCGCAATTGCCGGAGCGAACGTTTGTTGCGCTCGAGACTGTGACGAAGGAAGATGTGCAGCGTATGATCACAGAGCTAGTGATCCCGGCCATTCGGCTGAACATGCCAGTGCATCTCATGCACGGTCCTATCTACATCCAGCAAGATAGCGCAAAGATTCGGTGCTCGGGTGACGCAACCTTTGCTGAAGAAGGACGAAAGCACGGCTGGAACATACAGATGCAGAACCTCCCGCCCTATTCTCCGGATTTTGTCGTGATGGATAGCGCTTTGTTCAAACCTATCCTGGATGTACTGAAAACCTCGCCACCTCAACCGTCCGCGTCTTCGGTGTCCGGGCTTGCAGAATTGATTTCCAGTGTGGAGCGAGGGTTTGCATCGCTGACGAGAGATGACATTAATGACGCATTCTTGACGTTGCAAAAGGCTTTGGAATGCACAATGCGAGTTCAAGGCGCTAATACATACGAGCTCGGTCCTACTAGTAGAGAACAGCTCCAAATGGAGGGCAGTCTGCCTGTGAGTGTATTATGCGACCCTGCTGCATTGCTGGCGTGTCGGGCGGTCCTTGATGATGCTGTAGAAGAAGGCCTTGATGCTGTTTGAAAAGACAATGGAACCAATGTCGATACGTGCTTGTACGCACGACACTCTCAGTATGAAAAAGTGTGTATCCATGATGTATTTATCGCTTGATGCCGAGGCGGCGAACAGTACGTTCATCACAGAGATGACTCGTTGGCAATACAAGTCTTTGCAAACCGCCATCAATCAGTCATCCCCAACCTTTTCTCCTCTTCGCAGAAGCAGCGGAGCCCATGCACATACTGCGCGTCTTAAGCAACAAAAGTCGCACCAAGGTTCCACGCGATAAAGGCAAACACCTCAGACGTCTCCTCAATGATCTTCGCGGTGGGCTTACCAGCTCCATGACCGGACTTCGTGTCGATGCGGATAAGCAGGGGGTTCGTCTGTGCCTCTGATCCACCGAGCTGATGTTGTAGCTCCGCGATGAGCTTGTACGAGTGCAGGGGCACCACACGATCGTCATGGTCACCAGTAGTCAGCAGTACTGACGGAAAGCCACCACGGTCTGCAAGCTTCTGCATGATCGGGCTATCAGCACGTGGCACATTGTGAAGCGGCGAGTACTGCCGGATGTAGTGAAAGTCGTCTGCCACCTCTGGATCACCGTAGTCCGTGCGCCACGCGTGGCCAATGGTAAACTTGTGGAAGCGCAGCATGTCCATAACGCCCACGGCACCTACCACACAACGGTAGAGATCAGGGCGCTGGTTGCTAGTAGCCGCCACCAACAGGCCGCCGTTGGATCCGCCATGAATCGCTATTTTTTCCGGGTTCGTATAACCTTCCGCGATTAGGTACTCGGCAGCTCCGTGAAAATCATCAAACACGTTTTGTTTTTTGTGCAGCATGCCATCTTGGTGCCATTGCTCTCCGTACTCGCCACCACCACGCAAGTTCGGCAGCGCCAACATGCCATTAAAGTGCTGGACGAACACGAGTCGAGAAACACTGAAAGCCGGCGTAAGCGAGATGTTGAAGCCGCCGTAGCCGTAGAGGTACACTGGTAGCTGACCGTTTTTCGGTGCGTTCTTACGCTTCACAAGGAACATGGGAATCTTCGTGCCATCCTTGGACGGGTAGAACACTTGCTCCGTCTCGAATTGACTAGGATCGAAACCCTTCACCTTAGTTTCACGAAACACTTCAGCTTCAGGTGCCCTTGTTGAACCTGCTTCTGCCTTCGACAAATCAATGCGAAAGATAGATCCCGGGTAGAGGAACGACACGAAGTGGTAAAACAGTTCCGACTCGGTGCGTTTGCTGGCCACCCCGACCGTGCCGACGCTGGGCAATGGAATCTCGTACTGGAACACACCATCCAGGTCATACACATGCAGTTCATTGTGCACGTCCTTGACAATCTGCACGACAAGCAGATTCGGTGCCACTGGGTGTACATCTTCAATCACAATGGCATCAGGCTGTTCCGGGATCACCTCTTCCCACACAGGCGCAGCACATCCCTCCACAACCTTCGTGCGCACCACACGCTCGCGCGGGGCATCGGCGTTCGTCTTGAAGTAGTAACAATCCCCATCATTAAGAACGTACGAGTACGCTGCACCCATCTCGTCCACCAGTTTCGTCACCGCAATCGTCGAGTCGCACGGGCCCTTCAAGAAGCTGTCAAAGTCGCTCAAGTCGGCGACATGGACCATATTGGCATTTTTGCACCCATCTTGGACATACAAGAGCAGCTTATTGCCATCGTCCGAGACTTCAGCACCGACATTGAACGTCGGTTCACTCGGGTACGCGTACACAAGTTTATCCTGCGTCTGTGACGTGTGCAGTGCATGAAACCAGATCTGGTGGTTCAGATTCGCGTCGGTTTCGGTCCCTTTTTCCGATTGAGCTGACTCCTGGTCGTCCTTCTCGAGAGGTGGGTACCTCGAGTAAAAGAACCCCTTATCATCATGGGTCCAGCTAATGCTCGAGAACTTAACCCACTCGACTGTATCTTCGAGCATCTTCGTCCCTTCATCTTGAACGTCCATGACGTGGATCGTCTGCCAGTCCGAGCCTCCACGTGAGATCCCGTAGGCGAAAAAGAGCTTCCCATCGTTCAATTTCGACTTGGAGAACGCCCGACTGGAAACTGCAGCTGTCCCGTCTGCTGCCAACTGGTTTGGGTCCAAGAGCACGCGGGGCTGGCCTTGTAAGGTGTCTTGAATGTACAGCACGCTCTGGTTTTGTAACCCGTCGTTTTTGCTGAACACGTACTTAGTCGCACCGTACTTACGAGGGGCCGAGTACTTTTCGTAATTAAAGAGATCGGTCAGCCGCGCTTTTGTGTCGGCGACATAGGGCACGGTATGACGCAATAGCTGTTGCGTCATATCGTTCTGCTGCGTGATGAACGTGCGTGTTTCGGCGGCGTCCGGGTCCTCGAGCCAGCGATAAGGATCGGACACTGTCACGCCATGAAGTTGCTCGACGACGTCGGCGCGACGCACGGTCGGATACGTAAGTTTCTTGGCGAGGCGACGTCCTGTCATGATCAGGGGGTTCGTTATGCTCTTTGTTTGGATTATGACGGAGTTGATGGGAGGGGGTGAGGATGGTGGCGTGCTGAGGAACGGAGAAATGAGAGCGGATATGATGCTGACAGACGTGGACAGCGAAAGAGCGCCGCAGGTATGATGTTGATGACGACAGACGCAGACACTATGACGCTTTTGTCAGGACGAGTCGTGAAGACGATAAAACAAATATGCATAGTAACCTTTTGTAACTTATTAGACCATGATCGAAAGAGACAAATACATATTTCTCTCTTTCGATCTTGGTTTATCAAGTTACATAAGGTTACGTTTTCTTGTACGACCAGAACATGGGTTTTTACACGAGCCTTTCTCACGTGCGTTATGACAGTGCCTGGTATACTTTTGCAAGACATCACAGTGCCCATGTGGACCCACGTGCTGCGCCGCGTCGTGCGCGCCGAGGAGCGGCAGTTCGACACCCGACGGCGTCAGCAGCTCGCCCAAGCTCAATCCACTGCCTCTTCTTCCTCCACTGCCATCCCGCCAGTCGCTGGCGTCGCTCCACGAGCGTCGCAATCGCCATCCCCCATCGCCACCGCTTCCTCCAGAGCCGACAAGCATCAGATCCTTGAAACCGAAAATAGTGTGGTACACACCGAATCAGAACACCGTTATCCTCATCATCAGAACGAAGACGACGAGGACGACGAGGGGGATGGCGATTACTTGCAGAAGCACTTGCTGTCGCGCTCGACGTCGGTCTGGAGCTGCCTGGAAGACACGCAGCAGGCGAACTGCTTGGCGCTGAATGCGTCGCTCACGCTCTTGGCCGTGGGCGAGCGCGACGGACGCGTGACGATTTGGGACAATACGACGATCCGCGTGATTACGCGGGAGCTGGACCCGACGCTGATTGCGGTGCCGGTTATGTACGGACAGAGTGCTGTGTTGACGAGGAAGAGGGACGCTGGAGAAGCGCTGACGGGTGGGGAACAGCATGCGGGTCTTGCCGCTGCAAATGAGTTGGTAGAAGGCAAGAAAAAGGAGAAGAAGGAGGAAGAAGAAGAAGAAGAAGAGGAGGTGAAGACGCTAGAGAGGGAGGGAATTGCTACTACTGCTGGAAATGAGGACAGTGGAGGGATTGGAGGGAGAGACGAGATGGGTAGTGGAGGAGCGGGGCTGACGCTCGTGGACCTTCAAGTCGTGAAGACGGCGTTGAAAGTCGTGTCGCAGTGTGCGTGGTCGTGCGACTCGCAGTGGCTGTTTGCAGGCTGTGAAGAGAAGTCCACGCGACGAGCGAGACTGTGTGTGTGGAACGTGGAAGCAGCGACGCTCGTGTCGGCGTTTCAGTTTGACGGCACGATTACGGCATTGAGTGCCCACCCTCTCGATCCAACGCTGGTTGTTGTGAGCTATTGGAATTCTCGTCCGGTACTGCTGGACGTCGTGTCGGGCAAGCGCATAGTGTTGGAAAACGTGCCGCTGGAAAACGAGGAGATGCCGCAATCGACGCCACAGAGCAACTCGAAACATCCCATGCTTGCATCTTGTGCACGGTACGGACGTTCAGGGAAGCGCATCTACTGCGCCACATCCAAGTCAACACTGGCTGTGCTGGATGCTGCTACTTTGCAGTGTCTTGACAGTCTCAAGCTAAACGTGATCGTCCAGTTTGTGGATCTCTGCGTGAACTTACGCGAGACGGCAATGTTACTTACCAGCTCAAAAGGTATTCACGAGTTTGCCATGGATTCGACCACAGCGACTGGTACATCACAGCATGCACGCGATGCAGTATGTACTGGTGCAATGGAACACCCTATAGGGGTGCGTGAAGTGGCACTGCACTCGACTGGCGCAGTGCGTGCACCGTGGGCGGTTTGCTGCTTTAGCGGTGGAGAGGAGTTTGTAGTTGGTACACCTGTAGTGCGCCATCGACACGTAGGCGAAAATGGTTTGTTCACATGGCATCGCGCCTCCAAGATTGGTCAGAACAGCAGCTCAGCACAATACTGGGGTAAAAGATGGTGTGCTGGCACTAGCTTGGGATCGTATGAGACAGAGTGTGCTCGCAGTTTCTACCAGTGGAGCTTTGCATGTGCTTGAGGAGCAGTTTACGACAACATGGCCAGGGGCGATGTATCCTGCCGGCTTTCGACTTATTACTGACAACGAAGTGCACTTGGACGTGTTCGACCGTGACGCAGAAGAGCGCAAACGTGAGAAAGAGGAGCTTACTAAAGTAGCAAAGCGTTCTCCAGTCGATGTGTTTACCGTGAAGAGTCCAAGTTCCGAGTTCCCGAGCGAATGTGCCATGGCCGACTTCGAGACGTCAGCCACAAAACTGTGCTACATCCCGGCCATCCCGATAGAGCATTATCATCGTCAGCACCTCCATCAACTTCATGGAGGAGGCCACAACGAAGATAACGACTTCGGTCTTGGCCAGAGCGTTTTCGAGCCGCTCAAGAGTGCGCTGGTCGAGCAGGAAAAGAAAAATGCTCGTAAGTCCAGAAGCGGTGTTGGCAAAGTCCAGAAACGGCGCCGCAAGTAGGCGTACAGCCAGTGTCCAGTGTCATACATACATCAAACTTTGCGCTGAGTGTGTGGCAGGCGATTTAAGAACGGATGGGCAGCTATTGTCTTGGTGTGAGGAGAGTTGTCGATTGCGATTGCGCGATTTGACCCCGTCGAAGCGACGATATTACTGCACGCAATACTTTCCAAGCAATCCTGAGCGTTTTAGCTGTCCGACGTAAGTACTGCTGTCGCGCTGTCTCGCAAGTATAATGGACGGTCCTCAACCCGTTATCTACAAAAGCCAACGACATCTGAGTTGACCTGGAACTTTCGCATGAGGCCGGTTCGATGGCTGCTTATGACGAGTTGCTGACGATCACATGGCTTTCGACGAACATGGAGTTTGTGATATCATGCGTGCTGCCTTGCTGTTCCGCTGCTGTCTAGTGGATTATGTCTCTCCAGCTGGACCCCAGCGAAGCTTCAAAGTCACTAACAAGCGCGCGAATCATGAGTCCGGACGCATACTTGGCCCAGCCGTACCGCAAGCGCATGTCCGTGCTGCATTGGATGCTGCCAGTGCTAGCCATGTAGCGTATTGCAGTCATGTTGTCGCTGGTTGGACTTGAGTTGCCGCTTGTGCACTCATGAGTCGTGACGATACTATGAGCAACAAGATGATGCATCAGTTCCTCGTCCAGCCAAATGGCAAGCGTGCACAATTCCCAGCTCCAGAATTGCTTTGATTCGCACCATGAAGCGTTTTTCTCGACAGACACCATACATGATGGGCCACGATGAATGATAGCGGCAGGCCGACCGAGTGTGGCAAGGCATTATCCCATTGAAACGAAAACAAGTGCAGACAAACGGCGTCGTGATGACTCGCCGTTGTGTCCATGTTGAATTGAGTTCTGCTAAAAGTCTCGGGTTTTGGTGCGAAGGAGCATGGCAATGCCGGATTAGCAAACATGTGCTGCTCTATGCCACGGTGGAACACATTTGCAAGGCTGAAGATATCACTGTAAACGGACTCCACGGCAAGCATTTGTTCGTGTACGGCGGGGCAAATCTTGAACTGATGCAAACTCGTGGCTGGGTCTATGGAACGGACAGCATGTTTGTATTGTTGAAGCATCGAGTGGAGCCAGAGGTCAAAGCGTCTGTGCAGAAGGAACTGTTTCATGTGCGTGTGGTTTACTTTGACCGGATCACGCTCCCAGCTCTATTTGTGTTCCCCTTTTCTCAATTTTGGTGCATCGGTTGGCAAGGTGGTGTCGGGTGCTATCCTCGTTTAGCTTCGTTGCCTCTGTAATGATTGTACTTGGCGTTTGGTGCATCCGAATGAGCGGTGGGGAATTTGACGCCAGTGGTTGCTGGAATGGCACCGGCATAATATTGAGGACTGTGCACTTGCAGCGTGAAGCATTCGGAGTCAATGAGGAGACCAAGGCAACAATCGTGGGACTACACACAAGACCTGAACAAGAGTTGACGAATCACTTCTCAAACCGTCCTCCGCTTTAGCATGAACTGCACAGCTCACGACGCCTGTTACCACGCTATTTCCGCTTGGGCATAGCTGCAGCTTAGATGTCTGCCAACAACCCATTGACGATGTGGAGTGGATGAGTGAATAGCTCTGTTACGAGGCAGAGCGGGTAAATGGAAACCTCGAGGTATACTGTTTGTCGTGCGGTTTTGTTCTTCACATCCAGCTGATCAAGCTGATTGTGAAAGCGACGTCATCGCTTCAGCTGAAACAGATGGCTACAGACAGATCAAGCACATGTTCCAACGTCTCATTATTACCCGTGCAGCGACGCGAAGCACTGCTTCGAGAAGGGTCTTCCTTCTGCAACATGCGCCGTCCACGAACGCTCGACGCCGTCACTTCTCGTTTACTGTCATTCCACCCATCATGCTTATCGGTTGCATTGTGGCAAGAATGATGCAGTCCGGGCCAGCGACCCTGCCAGTTGCATCATCGAATGTTGTGGCAGTCTTCCCTTCCGTGTGATCCCCGCCCTTGCTTGTGACTGACAAAGCGCGTCTTCGAAACGGAGCTTGACAGCTTGCTGGAAGTTTAGAATGAACCTGCAACGTCGATCAACATCCAACAGCTCGTCTGTTACCCAGAGCGCTGGTTGTTATACGCTGACGCGATTGTGCAGATTGAAGCCAATCCGATGAGCTTTGCCATCTTCGGTTCGACCTCATCTTCACTCGGCGCCAGTCATACGGACGCAGTAGTGACACACTCATACGCTGGACATCCCACGTTTACACGAATGAAGACCTGGACTAGAACGCTGTGCAGAAAATCAGAGCGTAAACTGCTCGAGTGCTTCAACAAGAGATTGGATAGACTGCTGGCTGCTTGCTTCTGGATACATGCTGGCAATGCGCTTCGACGTCTCCAGCATGAAATCGATGATATACGCGCGTGTGCTGTCAAAATAGTGACAGGCCGTCGAGGCCATCTGCACTTCGGTTGTTGCCGCTCCTCTCAGCTCGACTTGCTTCAGCAATCGTGCTTTCTCGTAGCTGTACGTCATACACTTGCGAACCAACGCAAGACCAGAACGGGGTTTCTTCCGTCGTCTGCTGTCACTATGACTGGTCTCAGCGATTCCGTCTTCTCGAAACGAATCGCTCGTGGTCAAAGCTGCTCCAAGTCGGCCGTCGTCGCATTCAAGCACGGGGGCGACCAAGTTGATGAAGTCCAACATAAGCTCGACCTGCGCTACTGTTACGCGCTCAGCGACAGTTCTATCCACGTTGCCGTTGTCCTCGCTGAGTTCGCCCAGTGCGTCGATGCCTTGCACAATTTCCTCAATGATCGAGCTGAAGTGTGCCTGGACTTCGTCGTAAAAGGCGTCTTCGCCACCGTAGAGCACATCATTCGAGTCTACACCATTTAGGCGATCTGGTAGCGACTGCTGTCCCCACAAAGCATAGACTTGAATAAGCATGAGTGACACGCGCACGCGAGCAACACCTGCTTCAAGACCATGTGACAGCGAGGACGGGTTCCGTGGCATCCATTTCATACGCTCCAGCACAGCTTTGCGCAGCGCATTGACAAAGTAGAAGGCGTCCTCGTCATTCAGCGAAGGAGCATATACCAACACGTTCACCAAGTGAGCAATCGTTTGCAACACCTGGCTAATGACGCTACTCGTGCTGCTGATACTCTCTGGCTCAGACTGATGATGTACGTTTTCGTCGCAGTTGCCAGCAAGTTGAAGTGCGTCGATATCCAAATCCGCGAGCAGCATGATGGCAGCTTTCACCAGTGCGTCCATCTGGGGGACACAACCTGTCACCAGTGCTACATTTGCTGCCAACACCATGAGCTGTATCTTTTCAAGCGATGCTTCGACTGACGGTATCGTAATGTGCGCGAATGCCAAGCAGGATTGAATAAATCCGCGCCGCACATGAGCGTGCTTCTTGCTCTGGAATTTTGACGATCTCACGCTTCTGCACACACGTTTGTAGGAATACATCGCGAGCCGGAGAACCATCGTGGAAAGTAGCATCCCGATTTGCTCAAGCTTGTAGAATGCACGACGGCAATCTGTGTAAAGCATGAGCAACGCCTCCTGTTCTGCACCTTGTGCTCGTTCACTCACAGTCGTATATTCGTTCACGTATCCGAGCCGGGTGACGAAAGCCGATATATCGCGGGTAGCCTCGGTGCGCTCTGACACGGTGCTGAGAGAATCAAGCGCATCGTGTACACGGCAACATACAGTCATAAGCGCGTGCGTCACGGCAGCCTCAGGGCCGACGATGTGAAGTCGTAAGGTGCCTAAGCGGTTCGATGCCTTTTTCAACTCCCCGCTAACAAAGGCTCGCAAGACTTTCCTCGCCACGTCCACACTGGATTCTCGCTTGAACATGCCCATGATAGTCTTCACGCAACAAGAGACATGTTAGTGGCGGAAGACCGTAATGGTGCAAGTTACTCGGATACTCACCAAAAAAGCAGAGGACGGAATGAGTTTTGAGAAGAACTCGTAGCTCTGCTTGGCTCCAAACACGACATTTTCGATCAGCGTGCCGAGTCGATTGTATGATCTCGGCGTAAGCTCTTCGGGTGTTGCTGCATCAAGATGGCGAACAACGTCCTTGAGAAGGATGAGGGCCTCGCGATGCTGTCATCACATAACATCACGGCCAACAGCGTTAGCTCGCAGCAGCAGTAGAAGCGATGTACATCCCCGTACCGAAAAGTGGACCACAATGAGCTTCATGTAAGCTGCTGCACACTCCACATACTGTGCAACGTCTTCCTGAGAAGTAATGAACGACCACGAACTGTTCAAGAACTGCAACTTCCCGCCCGGCTCGTTAGCTGCGATACTAGTCGTCTTGCTCAGCTGCGTTGCAAGTGTACTGTAAAGATGGCACTTGGAAACGAGAGACGGAGACGCGGTGCGAATCAGATCCACCATCACGCTAGGTGTTGCGGCGTAAAATTGAGCACTAAAATACTCGCATATGTGCTTTAACACCATCGAATTGTCGACATACTTCCGGTAGTGCGCCAGCAGCGAATCGAACGTATCCTGAGTGGCCTTTGGAGCCGCGCACTTAATGAGCCACTTCACAGCAGGTGAATGCAGGGCCAGGTACTCTTCGTATCTCATCTTGTTCGTTAGCAACCAGTGCCCAAGCTTGTGTTGCCGGAACCAGTCGAAAGCGTAAAAGTAGTCAAAGAGACTGCTGCTCGCTATGACAATATGGCCAGCGGAAGAGGTGACGCCCACCAGCTCGGAACTCGCTAACGACAGGTACAACCGAGCGTATAACGCGACCATTGGGTCGCCTACACCTCTACGGCAAGTGAACGAACAAAAACAGCAGCGCAGCATTAGACTCGTGTGCCAGGAACTCGACAGCAGGTCAAATCACATACTTGATCATGTTTGACAACCGTGCTACAATCTGCGGATACTCGTCGTCGCAAAGGAACCGATAACATCCAAGCAGCGCAACCTCAATGTAGCTGAAGTACAGTGTTAGGCAGCGAAGTCAACCGGTAAAGCGAGTTACAGCGGCAAGAAGAGCCACGTACATGCGTGGAAGAAGCTCTCGAATGCAAGCCGACTTGTAGAACCAATTCCGACACGTTTCAACCGCTTGGACATTAACGTCCGATCTCCTGAAGCGCTCTCCCAATGGTTCAGACAGAGGCTGACCATTTTCCTCCCCCGACGCTTGGGCGTAAATGCGATCGTACACTAGTTGTCCAAACGCATCAAGCACGTCCGTCACCAGCACAAACACGCATGGGTACAGCTGAGGTGCGGTCGTAGTGTCTGCAAGTAGTTTCACACACTTGATGGCAATGCGTAACGCCTCGACTTTCCGGTGCTGCTCCCACGTAGCAATCTAAGCACTTCTGCATACCCTTCACTTTGGCCACATACTGACTGTGCGAGATGTCAGCATCTCGCCCGTGTTCTACCGACACAATCAGCTCGTCATCATCACTATGCTCCCCACACGTCCACGCTCCATCTTCAGCAATCTTTTCCGTGTCTTCTCAATCAACGTCGCTGTCTCGGTTCTCTCGTCCGTCTTTTCGGTCGAAAACCAGTCACTACGTCGTCCCCACACCCTCTCGTGCTCCCGCTTCTTCACGTCGAGCACCTTTTCTTCCACCCGGGACACATCATGGAAACAACCAGCCAGGAGCTTCTCTCTGTCCTGTTCTTTCCACTGCTTCTTGACTGTACGTAGCACAGTGCCAGCCCCACTCGTGTCCCGTGTTTCCTCCATCTTTATGACGTCCAGAACCAGCTCCACAGACACATCTGATGGCCCAGATCTCGACTTCTTCCCATCTGTAGATAGCACAATACCTCCAGCTGGATCAGCGTCTTCTTCGTGCAGTCCTACGAGCTCTGGCAGCGCTTCCCTTGTCCTGATTGGCTTAACCCCTGCATCTTGACGCGGAAACGACGCGCACAAAGGTCCAGACGCTCCTGTTTCAGCTGCAGACACATACGCAGTAGACAAAGGATGCAGCTCGTCCTTTTTCAACGTGCGCCACGCGAGAGCTCGACGAGCACGAGGCGCTTGCCGCTCGCCCACGCGCCAACTCGCAGCTCGAGTTGATGTCGGCATGTGATCGAATTCGAGCGCGCGGATTGGATAGAATACAGACGCTTTTCAGCCAATGAAAGGAGCCACATCGATCAGTTTTTCGCACGCGCGTAATACCGCAGAAGATCGACTCGTGGTCCGCGTCTGTTTCCTCTTCACGCTGCCCTAGCGCGGCCCACCGGTACGCTGCGCTGCTTCTTACACGTGCTAGTGAAAGAGAGTAGAATGTTGTATGTAGTCGCTGCAAGGAGACGCTCGTGCTGTTTCCTGGCCGTCGTAAACAACGTGGATAATGAATGAGCCACTGAGTAATTAATTGTCTCGTTTTTTGTGTGCTCTCTTTCCCTCTTTGTGTTTGTATGCATGTGCTACAGTCTGTTGGATACGCTCAAGACATCTACCCACTGTAGCTCCTGATTAGTCATGTTTGGAGCGACAGCGAGTGCGCCGCAAACAGCGTCCAGTGGCTTCAGTTTTGGCTCAAGTGCTGCAGCAGCTACACCGTCGTCAAGCGGCTTTAACTTTGGCGCGGCGCCAGCAGCTTCGGGAACAGGAGGAGGCTTTGGAAGTTCTGGAACGTCGATGGCTCCTACTGCTACTGGCTCGACGGGGTTCAATTTTGGTGCTCCACTGACGTCGATGTCGACGGCTCCTGCAGCGTCGTCTGGCTTTTCTTTTGGGGCAGCACCTGCTACACCTTCCCCAGCTAGCTCTGGATTTAGCTTTGGAGGCACTAGCACAGCTCCGAGTACTGGTGGTAGCTCTGGCTTTAGCTTTGGTGGGACTGCTGCTCCGGCTGCAGCTGCTCCAGCTGCAGCTGCTCCAGCTAGCTCCGGGTTCAGCTTTGGAGGCGCGAGCGCAACTCCGAGTACGGGTGGTGGTAGTGGCTTTGGGTTTGGCGGAACTGCTGTACCTGCTGCCAGTTCAAGTGGATTCAACTTTGGAAGCACGAGCACAGCCCCGGCTGCTACTGGTTCTGGGTTTAGCTTTGGTGGCACAGCGCCAGCTACCAGCTCCGCGCCATCGTTTGGGACTGGTGCTAATGCTGCAACCACGGCGAAACCTTCCTTTTTCGGACAGCAACCTGCAGCAAGTAGCACTGCAACAACTGGATTCGGAAGTGGTTTTAGCTTTGGGGCCAAGCCTGCAACTGCAGGCACTGGATTTGGATTTGGCACAGGAAGTGGTCTTGCTACCGGCTCAAGCACTTTCGGTACAACAGGCACGTCACTTTTCGGTGGTGGTGGAGGTTCTGGTTTCGGCACCGCAACACCTGGTACTGTGCCCTCTGGCTTCGGTGTGACACCTGCGTCCACTGCTCCAGCCCCGATCATCCTTGGAGCAGATGCCTCTGTTGCCCAGTTGAATACGATCAAGGCAGCTTACCAGGACCCCGCACAGTCACGTTTCAAGTTCCTCATGTACAACACTGTTGACCCAATGCAGCGACATCTGTACGCTCGACCACCCTACATCAGCGAACGTTTGTGGAACCAAGCAGAGCTTGACAACCCCGACCCGCCCAACTGCGTGCCCGTTCCTATTTTGGGGTTTGACAATCTACTCAAGCGTATTAAGGTGCAACAGGAGCACGCGGACAAGTACAACAAGCACACGGATGACCTGCGTGCACAACTGAATGAGTTGGACAAGCACACGCGCGCAACCGAAGAAAAGCTTGAAAAGTGCCGCCACGAGCACGTGCAGCTCTTTCACTCACTGGTGAAAGTCATGCGGGATATCGAGCTGTTGCAGAATTACGGCAAGCCTCTTCAACGCGAGGAGATGCAGTTAGCGTACGTTGGTAGCCATGCAGCCATCGTGTGCATCACTGCCCGAAACTCACTGTTGTGTTGTGTTGGAATGATAGGACGATGCTGAAGAAGCTTCAGACGTTACTGAACTCGCCAGATCAGTACAAAGCGCGACTGAAGGACGTCGTATCGCTTCAGCATGTTCCAAACGAGGCGCAGCCACCTCCGACAAGTCAACTGAGTCCGCAAGATCTGCAACGACTCTATGAGGTGTGTATCTATCGTGCATGTAAAGCTCACTCTTTTGGCAGCAAAGGTCGTCCAGTCTAACACCTGCGTGCGAATGATGTGCGGTCTGTAGCTAATGGACAAGCAGCGACAAGGAATGGAGCACCTGACGAACATCATCAACGACGACCTCGCGGACATCCAGCTCATCAAAGAAACGTGGCGACGGTAGATAGCCAGCCCAGCCCACTTTGCTTGCTGATCCATTCCTCATCAAGCAGCAGGTGAGGCGTAACAGAGGATGCAACGTCGAATGACGCCGAGCAATTCAATTTGTACGTCGTGCAAGACACACGATGTTGCTCCTCCACCCATCACGCCCCATTGCGCTGACGTCAAAGAGCATGAGACCACACGTGGGTCGAGCAAGACAAAGACTTGGACACGCTCCCATGCAAAACTGTTCTCAAATTGTGTGTATTTGCTGCTGTTTTCTCTCTCTGTGTATCAGGCCAAAGCCGCCACCTCGAGATACTCGACCAGACTCCTTGTCTTTTTGTCTTGACCATATGTATGCATGTTTGTCTCCTCCCCGTCTTCTGTGCAACTAACTACCACCGACGCGAGTCCACTCTCTTCCTCTCCTTTGTCTTTCTAGTGGTGGTACGGGTCCACATCGCCAAATGTCTCAATGACCAGAGGGGCTTCATCAAACTGGTGGAGAGGAGGGGGCGACGAGAGGCACCACTCGAGCGTCTGGTGCACCTCGGGGATCACCACTTGCGGGTCTTCCGTAGGCGTGTTCTGCACTGGAACGCCGTGTACTTTGCCATCCGAAGAGAAGTGGGCAATAGCTGGACGCGAAATGGCGATGGACGTGGTGTTCACTACAGAGAGGGAGGATAAAAGAGACCGTGCAATGTGAGACAAGAAGTCAGCGAATGGGAGCTCCGAATGGCTCTAGGTACAGACGAGACACAAGAGCGACACGTAGAGGGAGAGGAAGAAGAGGGGGAGGAGAGAGGGGACATACCGGTCTTGAGAGAGCGCAGGGAGTGGCGGAGGAGGCAGCTCATTGGCGTGCTGTGCTGAGCTTCTTGGCGGTTTCTTGGTCGAGTCGAGGGGACGAGTATGACGACAGGTGGAGAGAGAGGAGCTGCTCGTCCCTTATTGGGCAACGGTGTGTGTCGCTATGATCGAACGTAGTTTTTGTTTCGAAAGGGAGAGCGGTCGGAGCGTCCGGGGACACTAGTGAGCTTTGTTACTTCATGAGTGTTGGGTGCAACAAGTGGTACTTGTCACCGAATGAACGCACGACACCCGTTGCAGTGCTTACTTTAGAGGTTAGAGAACGCCGGCGGAACCGTAATGGACGATGGACGTGAGTCGATGTACAGGAAATTCAAAAGTGAGCTTGCTTGAACGCAGCAAGCGACATAGTGATCACGTGTGGACTTCGAGACGGTGACAGAGTGTTAGTGATGCTTGATGTGCTGTCATCGGATTTGATAGACGAGGAAGCACCGGCTGCTCCATGCAATTGTTGAATGGCAAAAGCTCTGGTCAAGTCTGGACGACTGGACGTATCCACACTGACGCGTGCAAGTGCGTGAACCTCTTGGCTTTTTCGACTTGACAACGATAATAGGAGACCGTGTCCTGCTTCTGCAAATCGTTTTTGTCGCTTCTGTAGGTGACCATCGACAGAAGGAGGGAAGTGTGAGGGGCTTCATTTGCATGTGCACTCTCTACGTCAGAGGAATTCTCGGATGCACACACAGCATGTGAAGGCTGCACCAAGATGACTTCAAACAGCTCATTGTGTGTTTTTATGTGGCTTCCACTACTACTCTTGGTGAGTAGACAATGCACGACCAGCAGGTAGATAGCGATGGACGTGCAGGATCGATCTCATCAGAACGATCCATTCGTGGTAACACATGCAGCGATCTTGTCGATACGTACGTAACGGCGGCCGATCAGTCGTCGGAATTTCAGCACCGAGGAACGTCATCATCCGAGTGCGCACTTAATGTCAGCACCAAGCGCTCCGTACCGGTCGGCCCACGACCCACACAATCCAAACCGGTATTCCAAAACCCGTGCCCCCTCCAAACGTAATAATCCCACTTCAAAAACCCACACACACACACACTGCAACACCGCCAGCACCACCGCCTCCTCTCTCCCAACCCACCTCCACCCACCCACCCCCCACCCACTCCACGCCTCGACTCAGAACAATGTCACGTCGCTGAACAAGCCAGTAAGTACGCCCACGTCCTCGCCCCAGCTCCCCCGTTGCCTCATTTCGTCGAATAACCGCGCGTCGCCACTCATTATTGGATTTTAATCCGCACAACGCTCAACGAGAGGAAGAAATCCGCCCCCTTTTCCTCCTCCTCATGTCCGACGACAAGTCGCCGTCAGCACCGACGTCCCCCAATGGCACGCCCCCGATCAAGAGCAGCAACAGCAGCCCCGACTTGGCCCAGCAGCAGCAGCAGCAGACGCTCCTCCAGCAGCAGCTCCAGCAGCAGCAGCTCCAGCTCCTCCAGCTCCAACAGCACCAGCTCCAGAGTCTCAGCCAGAACATGAGCGCCAGCGAACTCACGGCGCTGCAGCACCAGCAGCAGCAACTCGCGCTCTTTATGATGCCCATGTTCCCGCTCATGATGCCGTCGCTCCAGCAGCTGCCACATGCCGTCTCTTCAGCAGCTCATGAGACGTTATTAACTGCTGCCGAAGCTGCGACTGCTTCGGATCAAGCAGCAGCCGAAGCGGCTGAAGCTGCTGCCGATGCTGCTTGCTGCTGCTGCCCATAGTGAAGTGCTGCCGAGTTATTCACCAGCAAGCGCCGAGTCGTTGGGGCTCGCGTCGTCCTTTGGGGGCTCGGACGCCTTTGGACTGTTACCAGGGACGACGATGCAGGCTGCAGCTGCTGCTGCTGGTGGTGGTTTAAACCTGGACGACGTGCCGAAGCGGAAACGCGGTCGACCACCAAAAAAAGACGTGGCGGCACGAGCTAAAGGGGACGTGGAGAAAGCACTCAAACAGCAGCAACAACAGCAGCAGCAGCAGATGCCGTTATGGGGCTACGGTCTTCCGATGCCGCTCTTGCCGGGGTTTCCACCGGGCATGCTCTCGGGCATGTCGAATCCAGGAGCTGTGGTGATGAAGGGGGACCATGCTGCTTGTGAAGACGAGCTGGAGCAAGAGGGAGACGCCGAGCGGCCATCTAAGACGGCCAAGAAAAAACAGCGGGGGACAGGCAAACCACGGGGTCGACCCCGCACGCGGCCACGTCCAGGTGAGATCATTCGTCGGGTCAAGCCTCTTCCGATTGCACCGGCAAACTTTTCCGTCATGTACAACTATTCGCTCTCGAACTTAGCGCACAAGAGCGCGGAACTCAATGGGGATGGCAGCGTAGCGGACACGGACGCTACGACGGGCACAGATGAAGCACAGGACCGCGGACTGGCGTCGCTCAGTGCGTCGCTGCTGTCTGGCGAGCACGAGTAACGAGCTGCGGTATGATACATTACTTTTGAGAACTCCCAGTGTTTGGTCCATCGCGACTGCTTTTGACGAAGCACGTACATTGTTTGCAGTGAAGGCAGTCGGTACAGTAGGAAGCTCGAGCACCTCATGACGCCGTAGCCGCTCTGCTCGTCCATGCTCGAGCTTCCTTCTTGGTTATGTTCCTCCTCCTGGCGTCTATCTGTCTATCTCGCCACCACCACCACCACCACCACCTTTGCAGCTGTCCGTGTGCTCTAGAAGAACACTTCTTCGTCCCCTTCCTGGCTAACAGCGTCACTGTCGTAATAGTCGTACGTATAGTCGTTCATGTCGTCGCCCAGATCCTCTTCTGCTTCGTCTATCAAGCCATCTTCGGCTTCCTGCTCGCTCGCCTTGGCCTTCTCAGCTGCAATCTTCTTCTCCTGTGCTTCGAGCGTCTGAAACACTGTTTCAAACGCACGCGGCTGCACAATGCCGCGATGCATCGAGCCTCTTGCTGCTGCGGTGCGCGACCCACTGAGCGAATTGCCCTGCAGTTCCTCTGGCACGTACACTTCATTAGCCTTCTGTGTCTCGGGCACAGTCACGTGCACAAAAGCTGCAGCGTCCGACGTCTGTTTCCGTCCCGCAGCGTCCGAGCTGGAAGCTTCGGCTCCCCACGGATGATGGTACAAAGCCTCGAGTTTGTGAGCCAAGAGACGCTGTCTCTGGATCAAATAAGCTTCACTATCGGTCAGCGCCTCCGGCTGAGGCAATTCCAATGGCGGGTACAGCGCTGTGCCTTCTTCCGCCTGAAAAAAACAGTATAAAACGCCGTGAGCTGTTTTTTTCAGGTTCAAAACAAAATTCAAAAAAACATGTTTTTATTCGGCTGCCGCGGACGTACGTGGAGCAGCTCCATCTGCGCGTACGAGAGCCCCAGGTCCTCGCGTGTCTCGTCCATGATGTCGGCCAACATCGAGTCCCGACTGCCGCCGAAGCGTACGCGACCACGACCGCGTCCTCGACTCATGATTGTCTCGTCGCCAGCCGATTAAGTACTGATGGAGTCTGTGGGTACGACGACGACCTCTGGTGCGAATATGTATGAATATGGGGGGGTTTCTATGCCAATCGAGTTTAGTTTTGCTGTATCTTTCTTTTTATCGGAAGTAAGCGAAAGGCGACGGAAAAGTAGCACCAACGGATGCTCAAACTTGTAGTATGACGTCCTCATTGTCGATAATCGCCCATAAGTATGGAAGCCAAAAGTACGTGCGTCACTGTAGAAATGAATGGGCGCTCACAATGTACAACGAGTGAGTAATCCTTCTGGATTAGAATCATTTATCACGTCAGCTTTTATTTAGTGAGCTGGTCAAATGGTAAACAAAACCGGACATAGAGACCACATGATTTGATCTGATAGAGATTTGGATGTCCCTGGAGCGGTCCACGTGACCAGGTATCTTCCTCTTGTCCACAATTTAAAGGGTGGACGAGTCATAACTTGTTGTGTACTCTTGGTGTTAGTACGCTTAGCCTAAGGACGTTGTCAAGATCAACGACAGCTCGCACTTTCGTTCTCATCACAAGCAAAAGCTGTGTCTCTTTTACTGACCAAAGCTGAGTCACGCTTACAGACGAACAACTTCCCAGTCCTCCACTGTGCGGTCCAGCACATCTTCTGGCGCCGTGTCGAATGGTCCAGTTTCTAACAAACACAACAAAATAACCAAACAGACGGCGGGATATAGAAGAAGAATAGGTGAGCTACTAGCTCACGCACTATCGATGCACGGTACTATCCACCCAGAACGCACCTGTTCGTCGCGGGTTGTGGCGTTCCTTGAGAACAGCGGGCTTGGGGATGATGGTGCCCGTCTTCTTCGACACACGGACCTTCTCACCTTCTTCCGTGAAGCGGATGGCGACCCGCGTCGGTTTGCCAATAGACGGATCCACCAGGTTCACATTGCTGTAATGAATCGGTGACGGCGACAGGTACGAACGTCCAGCAGCAGCAGGCGTCGCCTTCACGTAGCGGTGGGACTGTTCACAGCAAAACCATAGCAGGAGTTCCACAAGCAGCAGCATGAGTCAGTCAGCATCCTAGCATCCGTTACGTTGCCAAGCAGCTTCGTACCATGTTCAAATTCTCCACAATAACTCTGTTCAAGTCACGCACGACGGTCACGACCTCGCCTTGCGTGCCTTTATGAGGTCCAGCAATCACTTCAACCTGCAGTAGACAACAACCACATAGAATAACAGATTGACAGGTAGTTAAGTCCACAGTACGTATAGACATAACGATGTCTGTGAATATGCGCTTGTAATTATATGGCTACATCATCTCGTTACAGAGCGATATCTCGACGACTCCATCGAGTTTTGAAGCGCAGAAAAAGAGAGACAGACCGCACCTTATCACCACGGTAGATGTGCCACGTTTTGATAGCATCGATCGCTTTCTTCTTGGTGCGTGGGCCACGTCGAAATGCAATCGGGATGCGCGTCGCCATCTTTGATGTACTCGAGACGAGCTTTGCTGTCCACAAATTATGAGCCCACGAGCAGCTCCGATTTTCCATTGGCTAAAATCAAGTCATTCGCTTCAGCTTTTTCGACAGCAGACCCAATCGACGGACACAACGAGTCCGCGGCGTCTTTTGATTCGCTGAAATGTTGCAGCCACTCGACCAAACGCATGCATTTTGAATAAAAGACCAGCACCACCACCAGCTCCGCCCAAAAAACCAAAGGGGCTCTCTCAGAAGATCGAGGGCTTTGAACGATGGCTGACGTTGTCGAGAAGCAGGAGGTGCCTCCCACTGAGGAAGAGCATGTGGCTCCAGCCGCTGTGCCCGAAGACGTGGCTGCGATGTTTGATCTAAAGAAGAAGAAGAAAAAGTCCAAGAAGGTCAAAAAAGAGGTACTCGCGAGTCTCTTTTTGCATCATTGTTATGATAATTAGCTCGATTATGCGTGTGTTGATCCTAGTTTAGGCTTTTATTATGATTTTTGATCCTGATTCTGTGACTATTTTTGTGAATGCACGTTTTTTTGTCCGACAATACGATACAAAATGGTAGAAAAAGGACAAGTCGGATGCTGCTGTGACAGACGCTGATGTTGTGCCGGACGCCATGTCGGTGCTCGTGCAGGACCCTGCTACGTACTCGTACAAGGACGAGCTCCTGGCTCGGATCATTGCCAAGCTGCACGAGAACAATCCAGAGCTGACGGACCGCAAACGGCACACGATGAAGCCGCCGCAGCTCATGCGCGTGGGTACAAAGAAGACGCTGTGGGTGAACTTCCAGGAGATTTGCCAGATGATGCACCGTAGCCCGGAGCACGTGCTGCAGTTTACACTGGCTGAGCTGGGAACGGAAGGCTCTATCGACGGCAATCAACGGCTGGTCATTCGTGGTCGCTACGTGCCCAAGTACATTGAGTCACTGCTACGCAAGTACATCACCGAGTACGTGTCGTGCCAGATGTGCCGCTCGCCCAACACGACGCTCACGCGTGACTCGGTCAGTCGTCTCTACTTTGTGCACTGCCAAGATTGCGGCTCGTCGCGGTCGGTGGCTGCTATTCGCTCGGGTTTCCACGCCGCTACTCGCGCCGACAGACGGGCTGCACGCAAGTAAGATGCTCGCTGACAACCTGCAGTCGCAGTTGCTTGGGACATTGCACAGGGCGACTGAGCAGTGTCCAACAAATGAGGATCGGACAAGATAGAGCAGCAACTGGACACTCGAGCACTAGACTTTTTTGCAGCACAGCTGCTCTCGTTGGCTTCGGACTGTACGTGAAGTGCAACGACCTGAATAGCACGAGGGACTAACACGCAAGGAAGAGAAATCTATTACAGCTGTTCAGATGTCACTACAGGCTACCCACGTCTTGTTTTTCCACAGCTTTCTTTGGCCATGGTACCCCGTTCTTGCTTAGTGGCGGCTGTGCTTGCTCTTCTTGGTCTTAGATCGATTGCCAGAATCCACAGCGGCTCGTTTCGCACATTGGCGCGAGATAATGATGTGACGCTCGAGCCCGGACCCAGTGCTTTCGTGTGCAAGACCGAGGCGCTCAGCACAGTCGTGTGCAAGCAGCCGCTCAAAGCCGTTCAAGTTGGCATTCAAGTGCAGCTCACCCGGTTCGCCTGAATCCTTGAAAGCCTCAATCTTCTTGACCAAAGTGTGCGAACTGCCACTTGAGATGCCTTCCGCCTTGTTGTTTCTAACGCTGACTGGAGCACGGCGAGGAACAGGAGTACCTTTGATAGCAGATGTAGCCCAAGAAACTTTGTCCTCGGAGCTCGACGACCTGGATGATGATACCGACGCCAGTTTCTTCCCAGCTGGCTCCAAAGCAGATGCCTTCCTCTTCTTCGTCTTCTTTTCCACTGCTTTGGTTGAAGCCGAGTCTTTGGAGCTACCGGAAGACTCGAGAGACGATTTCTTCTTCTGCGCTGCTTTCTTCGCCCGCTTTACCACTGGTATGGACGGAGGGTCATCGTCAGAACCGCTTTCAGATTCAGAAGATATTTCCGCCAAAGCTGGCTTACGAGCTCTTGTGAGCTTTGTAGAAGACTTGGAAGGAGCGCTGTCGTCTTCAGACGTAGGCGATGCGGCTTCTTCTGGCGACGAAGCAGATGCTCGAGTCAGTTCGGATGATACATCGTCGGGGCTATCAGAATCCGATGATAACTCCACTTTTCGAACCGACGCGGGCAAAGCACGGACCTTGGTAGAAGATTTGTCCGTACCAGTTCCAGAACCCGACGACCGAGACGATTGTGATTCGACGGCTGAAGGAGAGGTTATCGGTGCTGAAACTGGCAGCTTGACATCATCAAAGTCCTCATTAGATTCCGTTTCGATTGAAGTAACGGCAGTCGTCAAATGGCTGTTTCCAGGCGGCATAGCCAACGGCTCGTCCATCTCTTCATCTTCCGACGAGTCCGAGTCACTAGAAAACTCAAGTTGCGGTATACTCTCGACATAAGGCACAGCTTCGACGAGCTTAGTTCGTGGCGCAGTCTTCACCAGCTGAGCCGCCTCGATCGTTTCCATCTCATTCTTCTCAAGTACTCTATTCTTTTGCTCTGGCGCGGTCGTCTTCGAGCTGATTTCTTTATCGTCACGTGATAGATCAACGCGGACATGCCTCTGCAAACTTTTGAACTTGTGCACACTGGCATCACACGACACGCAGAACATGGATTCACATTGCTCACAGCGCACACTAGCTGTCGCTGATTCGCATTCAATACAGCAAGGAAGCTTTGGCAATAACGGAAGCTCTTTGCGCTTGTGCTTGCTCATCACGCGAGCACTGTGCACCGCCGCATTACATTCGTCACAGTACAAAGAGTCCTCACATCGTGGACATTCCCACATAGCGGTGCCAGGCTTTTCACACTCGGCACACGTGCGGTCGTCATTCTTTTGTAAAGGTTCGGACTCGCTTTCATCACCACGACCGCTTTGGGCAAGAGCTTTCGGCAGCAAAGATTCCGGTAGTGAAAGGTTCCGGTAAAGAAGATCCTGGTGGAGTAGTCTCCATCGGCGCAGTGCCTGCCTTCGGAGTATGGATAAACCTGCACGCAGAACCACGGCCACACACTCCATTTTGGAAGAACATACAAATCTTGGCAACCTTCCCTGTCTCCTCCGGGTGGACGTCATGTTTTGGGAGGCCTAGCACGTGGGCATATGTGCACGCCTTACCCTGTGAGCAGAAACCGCGTGAAAAAAAGCGGCACAGCTTCTTGTCTGAAATGGCTCGGATCTCTGGCGGTACAGTACTTGCTTCTTCATCAGCCTCTACAGTTCTCACTGTTACACTGCGTCGTTGGCTTTTGCAGCCTTTTTGTTGCAACAACAGGATGTGCAGTCGGAGCAAAAGATGCATCATCCGTCACGTGGTAGTATCTACACACAAAAGTAGTCACGAGCCATGTCACCTCGACTCCATTGTAACAGAGCAAACACAAGCACAAATACACACAATGACATACTTGCACATGTCACCCCTCCGACAAGTCCCGTTTGCAAAGCCACGACACGGCTCGGTCGTCTTTTGGAACGGACGCTGGAGCGAAACCTTGAGCATTTTGCCATACACTACTGCTCCATTGGTCGCCTTCACAGCGTTCACAGCATGTCGTTTCTGTGCAAAGACCACATGACTACCACCAATTCAAGCAAAAATCAGTTCAAAATGCACTCCTTACAGCCAGTATGAACAGCGTGCAAGCAAAAGGCACAAAGATGGCTACACTATCGTACGCCGAGTTGGTGCCATTGTGTTTCACGCGGGTGATGGGACCGTAAGTGCGGTACATGTTCACGAGCATCGCATCTGAGACATCTGAGCCCACACCAGACAAGACGATCGTCGCTTCTTCGCCCGTGGACGGCGCTGGACGGGCGCTGGACGTCATCATGGCTGTCACGTGCCAAAGACTGAATTGGCTGGTCAAAACTCGCTTCGTGTGGCACTAGTGCGGGGGGACGTGTCTGCTGTGCATTAGTGACATTCACGCCACTCTTCTGAGGTCAGTCGGGACTTTCGGGTGTCGACACATCAATGAAAAGGTCTTGATTACTGCAAGGATTCAGATGGTAATGATGATGACTATCGAGGAGGAGGAACAACCGGTGGTTGAAAATGGACGAGATCAGGAAGAGGTGATGATGATGACTATCGAGGAGGAGGAGGAACAACTGGTGGCTGAAAATGGACAGGAAGAGACAAAGTCGAATGGGGTGCAGCAGGTACATGTGGATGTCCAGGCTGAAGAGCAGGTGGATGGCGATAAACGAGCAGGTCGAAAAGAGGACGAAAGTGCTGCAGGAAGAGGTGATGAAAAAGGCGTGATTGAAAGTGAATGTGAGGAAGAGGAAGAGGAGGAGACGCTCGTTGTGCTGGAGCTGTGCGACTTTAAGAACCATCCGCTGTTTGAAGACTACAGCTCGGCGACGCTCGAGGTGCGTGTGTGAAAGGCCGCCGTAGCTTTCGCATGTGGACGTTCTTGACACGAACGTGAGAATCGTTACGTGACTTGTGTAGGGCATTGACACGGCGACGCCAATGCTGAGGATCGGAGAGTACACTTTGCATGGTAAGCTCGAGGAAACCGTGGGCACGAGTTACTTCTACGACACGGACACGACGAGAGCCGCCGACAAGACGTACCAATTCGCAGGCCAGACTATCAAGAAGATGAAGTTTACCATTGCACCACCGGAAGAATTCTAGAGGTGGACTGTAAGCTATATTTGGTGCATTCGGCGAGTGATAGAGACGACTGCCATCGCTCATTGAAAAGCCTCAAAACACTGTTCATGCACCTTGTTTATTTGCTTGTTATAGAGACGTCGCAGTCATCCAGTCGTTCCGAACTAGACTGAAGCTACCACCGAACACGAGCCCGCCATCCAGTCCACCCCACAAAGCTTGCAGCCTGGAAGATCTCCATACGTGTGTGTGCGTGTGTACATGTCTCTGCTCAACGATAGAGCTGCTCGACCGAGAGGTTCTTGGCAATTTCAAACTCCCACTTGTCCCCATTGGCCAACAGCTTCGCCTTGTCGTACAGCAGCTCCTCGTGCGTTTCCGTAGCAAACTCAAAGTTCGGGCCCTCCACAATCGCGTCCACCGGACACGCCTCCTGACAGAACCCGCAGTAAATGCACTTGGTCATGTCAATGTCGTAACGTGTCGTACGACGAGCACCATCGGCACGCGGTTCCTACACCACCGACAAGAAACACCATCCAAACACGTCATCAGACCACACACCATCTTCAACAACCAACACCACGAACAAACAATACAAACAATGAACGAAAGAAAACAAAAGAGCTGCGAGACGTACTGCCTCAATCGTAATCGCTTGAGCAGGACAAATGGCTTCACACAACTTGCAGGCAATGCACCTACACACTCACAGCAACAAGAAACACCAGCAAATAAGCGCCCACTGCGTCCCCAATGCCTGCATCACAGCTTCGTTTCTTCAGCCAATCAACAACCCACGCACCGCTCTTCACCGCTGGGATAGCGACGCAGCGCGTGCTCACCACGGAAGCGCGGACTGATCATGCCCTTCTCGAACGGATAATTGATCGTGACCTTGCGCTCCACATGCACTTCCCACGCCAACCAAGTGGCTCGAAACACGTCCGACAGGAAGAACGTGTCCGACATCTTCTCAATCACTTCGCCCCACGTGGACTTCGGGTCCTGCTTGCCAGCTGCCGGGACGTTCGAGAGGCCACGAGAGCCGATGCTTCCAGCTACAGAGTCGACAGCCCTGCAGCGGGTGGTCGCCAGAGCCGCCGCGGCCGATCGACGCAGCTGGAGGATGTTCATTGACCGGGCGTTTTCGGAAATAGCGAAGAGCGGCGGCGGGGCGTGGTCCCCTCGAGCAACGTTCGTGCAACCTGATTCGAAGGCTGAGTTGTGTCGCATGGTGTGGTGGAATGGACTGAACGGTCTGGGATTGGAGGGAATTCCGTCGCGATGGACGCTGGTGAAGTAGAGGTTGTCTGTTGAACGGTTTTCATTGGCTACAAAACCGTTCGAGGCCATCGACCCTGATCGAACGTATTGATATTATAAGTATAATTATAATTGGGATCGGAATTGCTCGTGGTCTTGTGATTCTTGTGATTGGATGGTGTTGAGCGCGTTTGTGCTGTGCAAAGTGCGGCACAATGTGAGTCTGTTGCCATGTCACAGCATGGAGCCGCGCGTGGGGATTGAGCAGGACCTGGCCGAGCAGCTGATGCACTACTCGGATCCGCTGCAGGGCGTTATCTTGAGCTTCAGTAACGTGCAGCTGGATCGACCTTACGGCGCTATTGTGAATGAAATGCCGTTCATCCACTGTAAAGTACTGGCTGATGCGCTCGTGTTCCGTCCTCGGAAAGGCATGGAGCTGCGTGGTATTGTCAATAAGATCGGTAGCAACCACGTCGGAATGCTCTTTGCTGGCGTCTTCAATGGGTCTGTAGCTGAAGCTGAGCTGCCGAAGGGATACGTACACAACTACGCCCAGGATTGCTGGTACATTGCTGTAGTACAGCGAGTAACTGTTGTGCTCCTTTGTGGGTCTATCGGTGGTACTTAGGCTGTATTTTTCTATGCTGCAGGCTTGGTGAGGACGGCTCGTCTATTTCCGTGGCAGACGAAGTGAACGTGAAAGTGCTGCGGTGGGATAAATGCCGCACACTGCATGCTTCTTGTTGCAGTAGAAAAGCTAATGTGACCCAGTTGTTGTTTTTGCTTTCGTTTTGTTGTTGCTGCTGCTAGAGTCCACGTTGCTGGCGGCATGATTGCTATAGAGGCTACAATGCGTCATGTTGACACTAAAGCTGTAAATGCTTTGTCGGTAAAGAAAGTCAAGAGATCGACGCATCTCAATTTGGCTGCAGGTGAGCCCGTGACTAAGTCGGTTAAGCAAAAGAAAAGTAAGCGAGTCAAGGGGGCTGAAGGCCTGGAGAACAAGAAAGTGAAGAAGGTGAAGAAGGCCAAGAAGACGAAGGAGGCTGATGAAGTCAAGAAGAAAAAGGTCAGGAAAGCAAAGGACGATATGGAGACAGAGTCAGCACCAGCGGAGGATCTGAGTGCAGAGAAGGAGGAGAAGAGAAGTAAGAAGCGCAAGCAAAAGGAGAAAGTCATGAAGAAACCTAGCAAACACAAGGTAGAGGACGCCAAAAAAAAGGAAAAGCACAAGAAGAGTAAGCACGATTAGACGAACAGGTAGGATGGTGCCCGATGGCGCGATGATAGATAGATGACAGGTAATTCACTTACATGTGTCATGTAAATACTTTTGAAAGCGAAAATCAACTAGTGAAGTGTTCAGTTGCTTAACCACAGCGCTGGTCTATTGCATACACCCCTGCAGCAGCAACCAGAGCTCATCATTCGTAAGATACTAGTTGCTGCAACTCTGCTGGGATTCCTGGCAGCGTCTTTCTTGGGTCGCGAATGCTCCAATTCGGAGACTGCTGCGCCTTATGCCACTTGAAATCGTTCACTTTTGCCCAGAGCCCGGAATCCTTTTGCAACCCCAGGCGCTCAAGTTGTGCGCTGAGTCCATCAAAGTGTAAGTGGTAAGGCCCAAATTGTATCTGATGGCAATTCTCAATTATGGGATGGCTCGAGATGCGCAGGTGAAAGGTCGTAGCCGAGCTCAAGTGGACGCGCAACTGACGGCATGCTACAAAAAACTCGCACCCGTTGCAGTGTTCAAGCCACAAGCTTCCAAAAATTGCTCCAGTGTAGAATACGCAGTTCTTCAGTGCGTCACCGCGGATAGCAGATGTCTCCACGCATACAAGAACAACACAGTTGGTCAGATGGGAGAAGTTCAAGTCGCGGCGCTTGTCGTCTTTGTCAGTGAAGCTGTGATCGTCAATGACAATCACCTCGTTCTGTTTGTTGGCGTGCACAAGTTCGTTAAACTCCGTCAGTTTCTGTGGTGCCGACAACAGCTGATTCTCAACATCACCAACCGATACAGATGAGTTGTCCCGGTCTGGTAGATCTTGTTCCTTGGCTGTAGCACTCTTTCCCGCACGAGCTCGGAACGTAAACTTCTTTCGAGGTGCAAACGTCACACGAGTGTGATCGATGATCTCCAGGAGCTTCGACAAAATCAATTGCGTCTGTCGAGTGTCATAGGGCGACAAATAAAGTGAGGCTGCCGTAGCTGCTGCATCCCTCATGGCGTTTACTTCGAGCACGAGAGCATCCAGCTGTACCTCTTTAGCCGGTTCACAAGGCGTTGGCTGCTGCTTCTGCCCACAGAACAGTCCCACCTGCTTGTGCACATGCTCTTCCTGCTGCAAAAACTTTTCCCAGAACACTGTCGCCAGCTCATCGCTTGACAGCTCCCGATACAACCTCAACGCGTCGTTTGTATCTGATCCACCGTCCCTCTTCGTCCCATGCCTCTCCTTCCGTCGTTCTTCAAGAGCATGTGCTAGACTCGCTTCATGCGTCTCCAGAACTGGAAAATCACCCGATGTATTGACCCTCTCAGGCCGTACAATGGCACCGTGAAGAGGCTCACAGTCAAAGTATCGCGTGCCTTGAAAAGTCCCATCGCCTTTGCCCAACGGTTTGTCCAGTCGCACGCCTATCCACCCGTCACCTGGCAACCCATCAATTTCTCCAATGTATGCAATCTCTCCGTACCGCTTGGTGTTTCTAGTGCGCAAGCTTTCGCCCGGTCTCGACGACAGGAGCTCACACCGCGCTCCGATCGTCGCCATCGACCGACAGCAGTTGACGCGCTTTGTCGTCGACGTTGACAGCTTTTCGACGAATCAACGAGGCACAACATATCAGCCAATCATCGCCCGCTCACGAGGGACGTTACACTCTCGTCTTTCCTCACTTTTGCCGTCACTTGAGATCTCGACCTCAAGCACAGAACCGTTTCACTTGCCACAGAGAGAGAGAGAGAGAGGAGAAGTCGATAGAATTACGAAGACGATGAACCCAGGCGGCCAACCCCCACACGGGTACCCACCGCAGCAGCCGGGGTACCCTCCGCAGCAGGGATATCCCCCGCAGCAAGGATACCCGCCCCAACAAGGGTACCCGCCGCAACAAGGGTACCCGCCGCAACAGTGCCCGCCGCAGCAAGGATACCCTCCACAGCAGGGGTATCCACCACAGCAAGGGTACCCGCCGCAGCCAGGATACCCACCGCAACAAGGGTATCCTCCACAGCAAGGGTACCCTCCGCAGCCAGGATATCCTGCGCAACCAGGTTACCCTGTCCAGCCTGGGTACCCTGTGCATGGACATAAACACGGTCACATGCCTGGTCACGCGTACGCTCAGCCTGCATACGTGGCGCAGCCTGGTGTGCTCCTTGCTGGTGGAATGATGAAGCACGGGAAGTACAAGCATGGGAAGCATAAGGGGTACAAGCACAAGGGGTACAAGCACAAAGGGTTTAAGGGTAAAGGGATGAAGAAGATGGGGAAGAAGATGAAGAAGATGTTCAAGTAGATGACCGAAGGCGATGGACGTGGAACTGGATAAGAATCTGCAGAATGTCAAGCTCTCTATGTCGTTGCGCAACCAGCAACGACGTTGTGGTTTTTGATAAATATAGAAAAAAACAGCAGGTGTTGTCGTCCCGTCGTGAGACAAAGTAAAAATTGGAAAAAGAGAACCTTGTGGTTGTTGTAGCGTACAGAGACGACACGCGTGAGACAGGAGAGTTCAAGAAAAGCTCAGAACGTGAACTGTCTCAACGAGCAGGTGGAACGCAAAAAGTCGCATGGATCCTGACGATCGTCGAATCGGATGTTGTAGTTGAAGGTCGACTGTGTGCTGTAGATGGTACTTTTTGCAGGTCGAAAGTCCCGGACAGTCTCGAAATGTATGCGACACGTCCTGCTCGGAGGTCTCAGCCACTCGAGTTATGACGGGGTGTGTGTGATTTTGACTGGAGTTGCTGTGTAGGCATAGTCTAGTTGCTGTTTGGACAGCAGAGGAGCGTCTAGTTGCTGCTTTATGATGTAGACGAGAGAATGGAACTGGATGAGGACCAAGCGCGCAAACAAGCGATCGTCTGATGCCCGAACTGGCAATTACTGCTGGTCCGTTGCCCTCGCGTCACGTTCTCTAACTTTCCTTCTCCTTTCTGCTCTCCTGTGTGTCGAATGCTGTGCAGCTATCATCTACAATCTGGTCATCTGAGTTGGTTTGTGTGCATACGATAGCGCTGACGGCGTGTATCGTGTTCACATCCAGGACTTGTGCGAATGAATAAATGACACATGATCGCACACGCACTCGTTCCCACATCATGTCTTGTCAAGTGGACGCGTTGTCATAGTACCGGTGCAGGCCAAATCGTAACTTTCACCGATCATGCGTGTCAATGTGGATCCACGGCTTTTTCGATCAAGTGGATCCGCGCTTGACATAACGTGCTAGAGCCATCACCCTAGCGACAAAAGCAACAATCGATCAAAGTCGCGAGATCGACTTAAAGACAAAGTGATGGCGTTCTGCCTTTCGAGGACCACGAAGAGGGACGTGAAGTTACTTCTATCGTCGCAGGTGTGAGAAGCACTTTGCAGCGCGAAGCCTGGGTGGTATTGTGAGGGCTAGCAATGTAGCAAGTAGCGTAGCAAGCGCAGGGTAGCAAGAACATGTGGTTTACGAAGTCTTTGCTAGTTCTCGGATAGCTACAGCCGCTATCTCGTTGCTGTATTCTTCGTACTTCGGCGACAATGACATTGTCCTTCGAGCGCCAAATCAGAAAAATTGTGAAGACCGTTTCTCGGGATAGTGGTGACAATGTCCTAGCAGGTAGATTGTAATGCTGACTTGCGAGTGGGCTTTATTTATGTAGTGGACGCGACAGAGAGTGTAGGAGTGTCGATCAAGTTGGTTCTGACCGGGTCGCAGTATGCAGGAGGAATGTGCCAATGATGGCAACTTGAGCTTTAATGCATACTAGCGTAACTAGCCTTTGATTGACAAGTCGCTCAATCGAGATTAGCCATGCGGCGATCCCCGCGATGAGGCAAAAAGTGGCCTAAGGGACGGATTCCGCTTAGCCAGCTGCGAGCGTACAAATTTTTGTTTACGCGCCAAGCTTTTTTTGCGTTGGAACCTATGCCGGTGACTCAGTTACATGGAAATTGTACCTGAGACCGGAAGTGCAAGGCCGTTGCAAAGTGTGACGCCAGATGTGAAGATTACAGTCCTATCTAGGAAGCTTCACTATTGCGTGGCGGTAGCGAAAGATGTCGATGAACTGCTTATATTGTGCGGTCGTGCCCTAGCTTAGAACATTCTAACCTCCACAATGCAATGCATTGGGGAGTCTTTCGAAACGCAAACAAGTGTGGCGTTTCTCGTAATTTCTTCTCGACGGGGGAGTGTCTTGCCTCACTTAGCGTGCAGACACATGCATACACAAAAATGTGTTGCGTGTAGTGAAGCCGTTGGGCGGGGTTAAGCACGGCCGTGAAATGGTTTTGGAGAAATATTGAAGATGTGAGCTTTTATGTGCGCCACGTTTACTAAAGCAAACTAGGGCGTGGGGTATTTTTATTTTCCTTGATCAAAACACGTCTTAATCAGCAAAAACAAAAAGTGAGACGTACTAAGAGGTCGTCAAGGTGGTGAGTTACAGGTGCAAAAACCATTGCCTGACTCGCTGTTGTGTGACATCTTGACTACGAACGAGCAGATGCGGACGCCATGTAACGGGGAACCCGTAACATGATATTGACATCAAACGGTGTCAATAGAGAGACTGTCTAGCGTGACAATCCCGACCAATATTATCCGAGATGGACAATATTGAAGGAATATTATCCCGCTTTCAGATGATATTCATGCGCTGCTCAAAGATTGGTTGATAAAGATATATCAACCAAAATTACCACCAATCGCTGCTAGACGCGCGTAATGAGTGATGAGCAGGTTGTCGTCCTACGACGATGTAGTTGGATTTAGTTAGATAAAGATTAAAGTTACATTGATAGCTTAACAATATTAAATGCAGTTCTCTTTTTACCCTTTATTCAACTAGCTGTTTGTGAAGATTACCTACTTCTGCACGTACTAGTGTAAGTGAAGTTGCGCGGCACCCCAAACAAAGGGTGCCCCGTTACACCTGGTAGCACTTCGTAGTCCGTCCAACGACTACTTAGTGTCTGTCCAATATGAACATGTTGGACGTAGAAGACGACAGCTTTGACGTCACACGTGAAGGCTACTCCCATCTGAGTGACTCAGAATGGGAGGTGGTCGGCCGCATGAGTGTGCTTATAGGCAAACCCGCCATCAGTGGCATGTTGGAGTCTATAAAGCAGAGACCAACAACATGCTTCTGTCAACAAGTTCATACAAGGGGAACTTGCCGTCGAACGACAGAAGATAGCCTTGCTACAATAGCAAGGCTCTCTTAAGTCTATAGGCGGAGCGACGCACATGCGTCGACCCAAAACCTTCTAGATGGACATCTCAAGGTACAAGAAAACCGACGAAGATTCCCTATAATAAAAAATTTGTCGAGTTGGACGACGCCATCAGGGCCCGTCGCATCGAGAGTGACGAGATGCAAGTCACCTTCGCCCTGTCAAATTTTACAGTCGGAGCAAAGACTTGGGCCTTTGGGCTCAAGCTTCACGACCCAAGCGTGTTTGTGTCGTTGGAGATCTTGAAGTCTCGGTACAAGCAAGGTAAGCGTGATGTGCACGCTTACGCACAACATCTACGCTACCTTGCTAGTAGTGTCACGGATCACCCTGTTGATGAGCACACGCTCATCAACGTGTCCATCTAAGGCCTCGTAAATGGGCCTGTGAAGACCTACATGTTCTGAGAGGACTTCCATACGCTGGAAAAGGTGATAGCGTATGCGGAACAAGAAGACTTATGCCTAAGACAGGCTCAGGCTAACTCGTCAAACTATCTTTCGGCGAGACGACAGGAAAAAGGAGATCCCGAACCAATAGACCTCTGTTACATCGAGAGCGAGAACCCTATTTCTCTTAGTCACAAGCGAACGGCAAGATGCCATCGCTGTCAGAAGATTGGACCTTGCGCTCATGAGTGTAATGTCCCAAGCACCACAACACGTCCAAAGACAGGACGTGATGACCACCGTTGGCCAAGGGAAGATCCGAGGGCGTGGTTCGACCATGTCGCTAAGCCGCGACAGCAAGTCGGACCGCGAAAAAATGGACAGGGTCAGTAGGGGCGGAGCACCCTGCTGATCCAGCAACGTCAAGAGAATTTGCAGGACTCTTGACGAAGATTTATCCCAACACACAGTCGCTGTGTGTTACTGCCCCTAGTGATGAGTAGTTCCTCATCACTTTGAAGATCGAAGTGACAAGTGAAATATCACTTTGCGCCCTAGTTGACTGTGAGGCGTCGAACATTTTTATTTCGACGCCAGTCTCTAGAGGATAGTAGGCTCAACTATGTTGAGCGAGAGTTCCCGCCAACGAGGATGAAGGTGTGCCTTGCTACAGGCGCATCCGTAACAGTAAACAAACGTGTAGTGGGAATCCACTGCACGCTAGAAGTAAAGCAGTACGATGATGAAATCATTGCACTAGATTTTGATGACAAATTTGACGTCATCCTCGGTCTGCCATGGCTTTTAAAATAACCAGCCATGGATCAGCTGGCAGCATCGATCCGTGAAAGTGCCTGCCGTTTGTTCATCAGATGGCCATCTGATGAACGTCTTGGAGCGTCCACAAGCGTGTGGATGTACTACGAGTGAGTGCGGTGGCCTCACTTGTGGTACGGTCGTTAGTACGACTGCACAAGATTACAGTGTAGAAGGCCACTACGTTGTGGAACCAGCTTCCGGCACCTGTGTAAAGACACAGGCTGCGCCGAAGGTTCACCACTGAAACACGGGTGCACACCAAGAAGGGTGCATCCAAGAAGAGAGATCAGTGTTGTTTAGGATGAACAACCCGTAAAAACGAGATCGACTATCAGAGAGTCGATAGTAGAGCAAGCCCGATCGACGGAAAGAAAGTCGATAGAAGATAACGTGACGGTGGTTGTACACCCACAGTCATTACACGTATTGAAAGAGAATTCCAGCGCTTCTGAGAGTGATTACTCCCGAGAGATTTATGTTGAGGGTGTGGGTCCCCAACTACCTGTGGATGTGTTTCTCATAGAATTCCCGAGACAGTGAATGTCTTGGTGAGTGACAGATCAAGTGATGGCGCTAATACACTTGATCTGGTGACACCTCCGAAGTCAGCTTCGGAGGTAATCAAGTTGTCAACGCTGGAATCTAAAAGATTCTTGCGATATCTGCGTAGTGACAAGATCAAGCAGATCTGCGTGCTCGTCACAGAGGACGAGTACGTCGCCGATATTCGGTCGGCACAAGTGTTTGCTGGGAACGAAAAAGTTCTCAATAGCTCATCGATGAAGGAGAGTGTCCTCGATGAGAATACCCGTATGAGCGATACACGTCTCAACCTTGGGATTCTATGAAGACAAATTGCTTGTATAAGGATTTGGTTGGATTCAGGGATGTTTTCCCAGAATGTGCCATACGAGCTGCCCATGGACAAAGGCACTCGGCATGAGATCGAACTGATACCTGGTTCAAAATACTGTGTCGTGAAGCTGTGGCCACTGCCTCGTGAACAGGTCCCAGCGATCAACAAATGCTTCCCCGATCGTTTAGCGGCTGGTCATGTGAGGGAATCAGCATCCCCACACAGCTCTCCGACCTTCTGTGTTCGAAAAGCCACAGGAGGTTGGCGGATAGTGCACGTGTAGTCAACGATTTGAACGCTGCAACGATACCGGCTCAAACGCCGACACCATGGAAGGACGTCATCATAGCTATTATGGCAAAAAGTACCATCTTCTCGTCCATGGATTTGATGGATGGATTCTATCAGATCCTCATGCGTAAACGAGATGACCCGTACACAGCAGTGAGCACCCCCAGTGGTATGCTCTGGGAGTTGCTAACAATGCTACAGGGGCTAAGTAACGCCCCTGCAACATTTAAAAGATGTGTTACGATCTGTTGCGATCGGTGCGCGATTTCGCACCGACTTACTTGGACCATGTCTTCGTCCATAGCCGGGCTTTGGATGGAAAAAGGACGTGGAGGTTCATAGAATCCACGTCCGAAAGGTTCTTAAAACTATGAGAGCATAAGTTGTTCGCGAACCTCAAGAAGC